CTGAGATACTGGCGACTCCATTTTTTCGACCCGGGCGTGTTCGCTCAATGTCCCCTGGGACCCTCACAGATCGATCCGGCTCGCAAAATAACGTAGGCGATGGGGTCCTGGAGGTCTGGGCGTCTTTTGTTGCGACGTTTATTTTGTGACGTCGGCTCTCAGGGGGAGGGCATCCCCTGACCTCCCCGCGGCGCAAAGAAGTCTCAGGCCCAAGGCCATCAAAACAATGCAGGACGAGAAAGACCAGTCCCAGGGAAGGGGTCGAGGCCTCCAGCCACCACAGCCATCACCACCACCACAACCACCACCACCACAAATCAGCACAACCACCACCACAAAACCCCAACACCATTACCACCACCACCACAATCTACCACACCGCCACCACCACCGACACAACCACCGCCACTACCAGCAGCACAACCCACCACCACCACCACAAACGACCAGCACCACCACCGCCACCACCACCACCAGCACCACCTCCACAAACCACCGCCACCACCACAACCCACCACCACCACCACAAACCACCACCACAACACCACCAAACCACCACCACCACCACAACAACCCACCACCACCACACCACCACCAAACCACCACCACCACCACCACCACCCACCCACCACAGCCACCATCACCACAACAAAACACCACACCACCAACACTACCACCACCACGACCGCCGCCACCACCACAAACCACCACACCACCACCACCACCACAACCACCACCACCACACCAAACCACCACCACCACAACAACCACCACCAACACCACCACCACCACAACCCACCACCACCACCGCCACAACCACTACCACCACCACTACCACCATGACAAACCACCACACCACCGCCGCCGCCACCACCACCACCTTAACCCACCATCACCGCAACTATCACCACTATCACCAGAAACCACCGCACCACCACCACCGCCACCACCACCACCACCACAACCTGCCTCTACATCTACCACAACAACCATCACCACCACGAACCACACCACCACCACAACCACTACCACCACGACCACCACCACCAGCCCACCACCACCACCGCCACCTCAGAAAGGCCCCAAGAGACGCCCAAGAGGCGCCAAGGAGGCTGCACAAATGCCCTTCAAAGGCCCCCGAGAGCCCTCCGACGAGACCCCAAGAGGCATCCATTTGGACTCTGACCCAAAACCAAGGCACGGTGGCGGAGCGTCGTCGTCGTCGTCATCGTCGTCGCAGTCGTCCTCGTCGACGCTCCCCGCCGCCGCCGCCCGCCGCCGCAGGCGCCGGCGCCGGCCCAGAAAAAGAGGTCGTCGTCCCCGCCGCCGCCGCCAGCCGCCGCCGACGCAGGCGCCGGCCGTAGGAGAGGGAGAGGAAAGTAGGGGAGGAGGGAGAGGGGAGGGGGGGCGGTTCGAACCCCCCCTCCTCCATCCAGGGGGAGGGGGGGGGTCCGGTTCCACCCCCCCCACCTCCAAGCGACCACAGAACGCGCTCTTTCCGATCGAGACATCCTCAACGATTTCTCATGCTAGACATCTGCCTGGGCAGCCAGGACGCGTGAAACCAAGCGTCTCGCTCAAGACATCCTCAAGACCTGGGCAAGCGAAAACAAGCATTTCATCCACCTGAGACATCCTCTGAATACTAGTCCCCAAGAGGGGAGCTATAGGCAACACAAAACAGGCGTGTTTCGCTCGAGACATCCTCAACACATTCTGCAGCACAAGCGTTTCGTTCGAGACATCCGCAACCAACGAACCTGTATAGTTCACCATGTGTTTATCTATCAGAATCACAAAACCAGCGTTTCGCGAGGGACATCCTCAACTTTTTAATTCGCTGGCCCTACGCGACCTGGTTATCTATCGCAACTTAAACTCGCTGGCCCTACGCAAGTCGAGGCCGGGGGTAAAACATCTAAACGAGAACCCTGGGCCCATGCCCTTTCCGGGAAAAACCAACATGATCGACCCACGAACCCGGAAAGGAATATAGAAATGTAACGCATGGCATCGTTTTCAAAAACACCTGATTGGGTGACGGGCAAATGCAATGCTGAGTGTATCGATCTTGATGTACCCTGCCGAAGGCTGTGCTGTGCTGCACCGTGCTGAACTGCGATGTTCCATGCCGCGATTGTGCTCTATAGCGTTGTGGATCGAGTCCTCCTTTGCATCCGAGTCCTGACCGAACTGATCTGGATCTTAAGCTCGAGCTGCCTGAACACATCGTAGCTGCCCCAGAGCTAATTGACAGGGGGACATGCCAGGAGGACGCGCCGCGAAACATCCCACGGGACGCGCCAGGCGACGTGCCAGGGGACGCGCCATGGGGTCGCACCGCGGGACGTGCCAAGGGGACGCCCTACGGAACGTGCCAATGGATGAGCCACGGGATGTGCCAGGGGACGCGCCACGCGACGTGCCAGGGGGACTCGCCAAGGGACGCCCCACGGAACGTGCCAAGAAACGTGCCAGGTTGCAATGCTGAATGTATCGATCTTGATGTGCCGTGCCGAAGGCTGTGCTGTGCCGCGCCGTGCTGAATTGCAATGTGCCATGCCGCGATGTTGCTTTATAGCGTTGTGGATCGAGTCCTCCTTTGCATCCGAGTACTGACCGAACTGATCTGGATCTTAAGCTCGAGCTGCCTGAACACATAGTAGCTGCCCCAGAGCTAATTGACAGGGGGACATGTCAGGAGGACACGCCGCAGAACGTCTTGTACAAGTTCCACGTGCTGTCGTACCTGGAGGGCGCCACCCCGGCAATCTACCACGCTGCTGAAGCCACTCTTCGCCACCTTGACGAACTACAGGACACTTTTCTGGAAGGCGTGGGGCTGACTCCCAAGGAAGCACTCCTTGAACACAAAATGGGCCCAATGGGGATGCGGCGTGACATTGCTATGCTTGGTCTTCTTAACAATGTTGCTCATGGGACAGCGCCGCCATCGTTGACTTCTCTGCTTGAACCGTTCAGAGGCCAACTTTCAAGGTACGGGTCTTCATTGGATTCGCGACTGTACACCAAGGCGTTGCACGAACCTCTCCAACCCGGTCATCCTCGAATGGTTCATCGGTTAATCTATGGCTTGATTCCAATATTTAACCGTTTGCCTGACGTGGTGGTGCGCGCCAGATCTGTCAAAGGCTTCCAACGTGCGCTGCAGCGTCTTGCGAAAGATAGCGCCGCGTCTGGTAGCCATAAGTGGTTTCGGATTTTCCGACCTGGCTGACGCCGGCGAGAGAATTCATACTTCGTGTGTTGTTTGATTGATTGAAGGCTTGTCGTAGAAAAGACGTGCCAGGGGACGTGCCGTGGGGACACACCGCGGGACGTGCCAAGGGGACGCGCTACGGAACGTGCTGGGGCCAAGCGTTCCGTTCGAGACATCCTATCAAAACCCTAATGCATCCATCCGCCTGAGCGACCTGGACACGTGAAAACAAGTGGTTCGCTCAACACATCCTCAACACATGCTCATGCTAGACATCCGCCTGGGCGAACTGGACACGTGAAAAAAAGTGGTTCGCTCGAGACATCCTCAACAGATCTTCATGTGAGACGTCCGCCTGGGTGACCTGGGCACGTGAAAACAAGCGTTTCGCTCGAGACGGTTTCAACACCTCCTCATTCTAGACATCCGCCTGGGCGACCTGTGCACGTGAAAGCAAACGGCTCGCTCGAGACATCCTCAACACATCTTGTTAGACATCCGCATGGGCGACCCGGACACGTGAAGACAAGCGTATCTCTCGAGACATTCTCAACACATCTGCATGCTAGGCATCCGCCTGAACAACCTGGACACGTGCAAACAAGCATCTCGATCGAGACTTCCTCAACACATCCTCGTGCTAGACATCCGCCTGGGCGACGAGGACGCGTGAAACCAAGCGTCTCGCTCGAGACATCCTCAACAAATCCTGGCGCTAGACCTGGACACGTGAAAACAAGCGTGTCTCTCGAGACATTCTCAACACATCCTCATGCTAGGCATTCGCCTGGGCAACCTGGACACGTGCAAACAAGCATCTCGAATCTCGATCGAGACTCCCTCAACACATCCTCATGCTAGACATCCGCCTGGGCGACGAGGACGCGTCAAACCAAGCGTCTCGCTCGAGACATCCGCAACAAATCCTGGCGCTAGACCTCTGCCTGGGCAACCTGGAGGCGTGAAATCAAGCGTCTCGCTCGAGACATCCTCAAAACCTGCGCACGTGAAACAAGCATTTCACTTCAGAGATCCTCGGAATTCTGGTCCCCAGGAGAGGACAATCTATAACACAAAACAAGCGTTTCGCTTGAGACATCCTCACATTCGCTGAAAAACAAGCATTTCGCTCGAGACATCCTCAAACATAATTTCGCCGGCCCTAGGCGACCTATCGCAAAAGAATTCCGCCGGCCCCACAGCCGTCGATTCCAGAGATAAACCTCTAAAAGAGAACCCAGGGCCCACGCCCTTTCCTGGAAAAAGCCCGTTCTGCAGCGTCTCTGGAGCCGCATCGATCCCCCAAACCCGAAGTCCCTGGGCCCGAAAAAGGTCGAAACCGCCAAGCGTGCAAGGTGACGACGCCTGCATCTCGAGGCCGAAACAAACAGCATTCCCAATAGTTGAGGCGTCGCTTAATGGAGGGCGCTCAATGAGGGGGGGGGGGGGGGGGAGACAGGTGCACAGTTTCGAGCCCGGAAGGCCCCCTTTGGGACCCTAAACGGCTCCTTTGGGGAGCCCGCGAGAGCCCCGATTCTGAAGCCCTCGCTGCCCCCCCCCCCTCTATCGATGATCCTCAGAACGTGTGTTAGCGCCAGCGTGTGCTTCCCCACTGAGGCCCTTCACTACGACGACGGCGATGAGATGATCGACTGGTTGGGCTGAACGGGGTGAACACACATCGGGCTAACACACGTCCTGAGGATCATCGAACCTATCGCTCCCCCCCTTCCGCGACGCCCAAACTGTCTCGACCCTCTGGCTTCCAGCTGCTCGGCTCCTCGGCGGGGGCCGCCGGCGGTTCCCGGCTGCCCCCGGGCGCTGGCTGCGGGGGCGCGCCCGCCGAGGCGATGGGCAGCGACAGGCCCACCTTCGTGGGGGGGCGGGGGCGCGTGCGCCCCTGCGGGCTCCGCCCGCCTCGCGCCTCGGAGCTCTCCGGGCGTCGCGGTCGTCTCGTGCCGGGCCTGCAGGAAGGCCCCAGGATCGAAGGGGCCGGGTCGGATCGGCGATCGACAGGGATCGGATCGGCCGATATCGGCAGCCGAGTCGGGAGAAGGCGAATCGGCAGACATCGGCCAATGAGAAATCGGATCCCAAATCGGAATCCGACATCGAATCGAATCGGAATCGGACTCCATCGAAATCGAGTCGAATCGAATCGGCGGCACCGAAATGAGCCCTGGGCTTGTGCGCCCAGTCTCGGAGCACCCGAGCGACGATCAGAAACGGGTCTTACGCGAGATGGCGTAGCGGCCTTACGCCGCGGCTCACGCGGGCCACCAACGCGGCTCGCCACACTGAAGACGAGGGCGCTCACGCGTGACCCTTCGCGGGCAGCTTACGCGCGAATGTCGGCGAGGACGACCCCGTGGTTGCGTCGCTCACCTAGGCCTCAGAGACCGATCCGGCTTGGGACATGCCGCAGAAGGATGCGGCCCAGGGCGCTGGTCGTGATGTTCGCGACGTCGAATCTCAAGGGCCCCGTCTGCCCGCCCTCCCCTCCTCCCGCATGATGCAAGTTGCGTCCCCGGCCCTCACGGGATCGAGGATGAAGGTGCTTGGGCGCTGTGGGAGTGCTTTTCTGTTCCGAATCTCCTGGGGCCTCTGGGGGCCCTTCCTCCGAAGGAGGAGGAGGAAGAGGAGGAGGAAGAGAAGGAAGAGGAGAGAAGGAGGAAGAGGAGGAGGAGGAGGAGGAGGAGGAGGAGGAGGAGGCGGGTGAGAAGAAGGGCGAAGAGGAGAAGGAGAAGCGCGCTGTCCACAAGAGGCCCGTGCTGGAGCAGAAGTCCCAAGCCCCTCGCGGGGGATCTCCCGAGTGCGGGCAGCACGGGAACGCAAACAGGTACTAACCAAAAGAGGAGTATGTGGAGGGGAACGGAGATGAGCGAAAGGGAATGAGAAGGGGAGGAGGAGCACACCCCGCCCACCCCCCAACCCTCCTCCAATTTCTGCCTCCCTGTCCTCTTCATCCTCCTCGCACTTCTCTCACATGCCTTCTCCGTCTGTTCCTCCTCCTCCTCCTCCTCCTCCTCCTCCTCCTCCTCCTCCTCCTCCTCCTGGCCCCCGTCATCATCCTCCACCTCCTCCTCCTCCTCCTCCTGCTCCTCCTCTTCCTCAATCCCCGTAACTTTTCTTGCCCTCCTTCCCTTTCTCGCCTCTAGCCTCTTCCTCATGTTCCTCCTCTTCCTCCTCCTCCTCCTCCTCCTCCTCCTCCTCCTCCTCCTCCTCGTCATCAACATCATCATGTTCAGCATCATCAGCAGCAGCATCATAATTAGCAGCATCAACATCACCATCATCAGCAGCAGCAGTATCGTCATCATCATCATCATCATCATCATCATCATCATCATCATCATCATCATCATCATCATCATCATCATCAACAACATCATCATCACCATCAGCATCACGAACAACAGCAGCATCAGCATCATCATTAGCAGGATCATCATCACCATCACCAGTCAGCTGCAGCTACATATCATCATCAGCAGCATCGTCATCAGCAGCATCATCATGATCAGTCAACAGCAGCAAACCATCATCACCATCCTCATCAGCATCATCAGCATCACCAACAGCATCATCATCAGCAGCATCATCCTCATCAACATCATCATCATAGTCATCATCATCAGCAGCATCAGCATCAGCGTCATCACCATAATCTTGCTCCCTGTCCTCAACCACCTCCTATGTCGCATCATGTCTATAATGTGTGTTACATTTCTCCTCATTTACTCCTCGTCCGCTTCCTCTCCTCTTCCTTCTCTACTTACTCCTGCGCTCTTCCCTTTTCCCTTCCGATTCTCCTCCGCGATTCACCGTATCGGGCGCGATCTGTGCAAGCCCCCACCCCGCCAAACTCAGAATTGTATCTAATGTTCCACACCTGGCCAGAGATGGCGGCTGTCCGACATACGTGTTCAGACTCCTACTTGGCATGTGGCAGGGCTGTTGAAGAAGATGCGCCTCCTACAATCGTACAGCAAGCCGTGTGCACATAATCTGAGCCGTGCAGGTTAAAGGGCGTGCGAAGCGTGCCATTGACATGAGAGTGCGGCCGAGGCGCCAGCAACAACAATGATCTCCAATGGCTAGCTACGTTGCTTCTACGAAAGCCCACGGCGCATATCGCAAGATCTGCCCTTGGCGCCAGCATGCACGCCAGCGACCCCCGCAGGCATCAAAATACAAGCTGGTGTAACAACAAGGAAATGGCAACTTTGAACAAGCCTACCGAGACGTACGGCCAGAGGACGTGATGCAGTAACCAAGTGGCAACAATATACTGGCATGACTGCAAGTATGTGCAGATGTCATGTGACAAGGGGGGAGGAGGCGGCGGAAGAGAAGGCACATGCACATTAATAGACATAGCCTGCGGGTGGGCACGTCAAGCCCTCACCCTAGACGCCTGCTCTCTGACGGAATCCTTTACCATTGAACCCGCAGACGAACACGGAATGAAACGCAGACCCTTCACTCACACGCAAGCGCGACGCCGAAGACACAAAGGAAGCCCGAGCACTGATACCGCGAGAGCCATGGCACTCAAAGACTGGTAGACCTTTGGGTCAACCTCAACTGAAAATGAAACTGGGGGCAGGAGTCGTACTCGCGAGCTCGACCAAGAAGGTGCGCTCAAAGGACGTCAGGCGCTTTTTGGCTCGTGCGGCGCCAGGGGGAACTCCGAACCAAGTACAACGTCCGAACTTGTAAGAGCAAAAATGTTCAGGCCCGCGAGTGCCAGGAGAGACACCGTCAGGATCGGCCAGTGCGGGTGAAACGCTGCGGGACGGAGCCGTGGTTGACCCTTCACTGTTCGAGGTTCTCGTCCTCATGGCCCCGGCAGCCCAGGGGGTGTCGAGCGCCTACCAGGATGCCTGACAAAGGTGGCGAGCACTACCAGGGCCCACTAACAAGGCGCCCCCCCCCACACAAAAGCAAAACCACCCATCAGACAGATCAACCTCGGCCGAGAGGCATCCTCTCTGATCCAGGAGCGGGATGCAAGCAGCGTAGCTCGCCGGACGAGGGGGGGAGGAGCCGCCGCAGCAACAGGAGCCGATCGGCTTCTCAACCACCACGGGTGGGGAAAGCAAGAGATACCGATACCGCTACTCCGCGGACCTCTCCCAGGGTGCGATCTGACCAGGATTTCGAAGCGAATCCAGAGGTAGCGACGAGGGCCTCCCAGGAGGCCCCAAAAGGCGAAAACGGGGCGACGGTAGCGCTATGGTTACTTCTTCCTCCTCGGAACTGGACGGGCGGCGCCTGCTCACCACTTCCGAGGGCTTCCAAGGGCGGGAAGGCGCCCACAGCAGAGCGTGGGCTGCCAGACCGTGGAGGGGATGCAAGCCTTCTATAGATCATGACCCGCTACGTGTGCAGAAACCAGAACACTGTGAAACATACTCCAAAGATACTCTCAAAAAAAAACACTTCGCACATGTAAGCTTGAAATGCCAAGCAAAGCTCTGGGGATATCAGCAAATCCCTCTGCAAAACCAGTCCGTGCACCAGGCCACGCCCATCCCCGACAGGCCGCCGGCACGCTCCGCGGCGCAGCACCCGGGCCCTGCGGGCCCGAGCTGCGTGGAGAGGTGGCCGCCGAGGGCCTCGGCCGCACGGGCAGAGCCCCTGCAGCATCGGGCGCCAGGCGCAGAGGGGGGGGGGAGCACAGCCAGCGAGCTGACTCGAACTGACGCGCACATCGGCCCGGAGGCCGTCCCGAGGCGGGGCGTGCTGCGGAGCCTCGGCTCCATCCACCACGCCTTCTCTCACGCGCCTTCTCACAGAGTACTGTCGCAAAAGATGCATTGTGTTGTAAGCGTGCCCGTAATATGAAGCCACCTTGACCTGGGTCGCTGTGTGCGCTGTGTCCTTCCAATGGGCTCCCACAAAACTGCACAATCCTTCTCTTCTCGCATCCGTTGGAGCCAGTTTGCTGCCCAGGGGGGCGCAGTTAGCTCACGTGCAGGGCTTCCTCGGCAATAAGCGAAGGGACTGGGGGGTGTGGGGTGTGGAGGGGGGGGGGCAACACACGGGGGTCAATACACGGGGGGGTGACATGAAAAGCGGGGGGGGGGGCGGGGGGAACGGTGCACCTTCCGTGCACCTCCAGGTCCTTTTGGGGCCCCTTTCCTGCAACACTCGATGCCTTCACCCCATCTATTGCCCACCACTGCGAAACGCCTGATCTCTCTGGCGCCTCACGACACTGGAGGCGCCAATGTATCGAGGAAGGCGCCCGGCGGCGAAGCCGAAACCACCTGTATGCAATTGGTGTCGCACCCCCCCCCTTCCAGATCCCCCCCCCTTTCGTCCGACCCGACAGTATCCCAGCCTCGCGTCCCCTGGTCGCACGGGAAGTAGCTTGCCACATGCCCCGGCGGGTCGGGGACTGTGCCGTTGGGAGGTGAGGGGCAGCGTTGCTCCCAAGGCCGAATCCCAATACGCTTGGCCCGCGCGCTTGATCCGTCAATAGCAATCCTTACGACTCCCCATTCGCGAGAAGCTCTAAACCTAGGTTTGTTCTTACCGACGAGTGGGCTGCTTAGGTTTGCTCTTACGCTACGAGCATTACGCCCTCCTCCGTCGCCCCCGAACACACAGATCGCGCTCAGTGCCCTTCAGTGACTGACGTTGAAAAACAGGTCTCAAGCGAAGTGGCACAACGAATTTACGCGGTGGCTTACGCGGAGCGCCAGCGCGGCACGCCTCACTTGAAGCGAGAGCGTTTACGCGCGACCTTACGCGGGCAGCTTACGCGCCAATATCGGCGCAGACGACCCGCCTTGTTTTCCGTCGCCCAAGTGAGCTTCAAACTGTGCCCTGCCTTGGAGTTGGAAGTGTCGCCGATCGCTGGGTGCACCTCCACGAAGCCCCCGCGCCCCGGGTGTTGAGCGCAGCCACGAGCGGCGGCGCCGGCTCGATCAGGCTCAGGCTGGGCATTCAGAACCTTTGATGGCCTCCATATACGGTGTGAACGACCTCGCCCCAAGTCGTGCCCACGGCGGGGCGGACGAGCCGCAGGTGACCAAGCAGCCTGATGACGCTCTCCTGGACGATTATCCGCCGGCTCACCGACCAACTCGAACTTCGAGATGCTGTCCCGAGCTGGATCGTGAATTATCCAAAACAGCGTGCCCATGTGCGAGGTCAAACTGCTTGGTGGCATGCTCGCAACTGCTCATGTCGTCACAACGCCGCTGAGGGCATAATAACCACGGGTAGTCGCTCGTTACATTGATTGAGAGTACAAGCAAACATTGACGCAAGACTCGCCTTTTAAGTTATGTAAGAATCGTCGCGGGCACTGTGCAGTAAGCCTGTCGCGGCACAGACAGCAACTAAACCGTCCTTGCTAGGAGGATGAAGGCCATTGGAACGGCCACACTAGAAGCGTGGCTGCCCTAGTTTTGCCCCGCCCAGCTGGAGTAGTCAACAGGCCGGCAGCGTCCTGACGGCCCTAGCAGCGCTCGCCCATCCAACGTCTTGGCTTGCCGGTCCGCGAGGGCCTGCGCGAATGCAAGGCAGACCAGCACAGAGGCCTCCTTGAACACCGAGCCCGCGGATGCGACAAAGAATCGGCGCCAAAGGAGTTACGAAAGACAAAGGAAGCTGGCGAGGACGGTGCTGGTAGCGCCAATAGCGAGGACTTAGATTATGAGGGGGTCGAACAGGAGGGAAGGGAATCAGGGGGAGGACACCGACGAGACGGAGGCGGGGAGGAGGGCGAGGAGGAGGTAGAGGTGGATGGGAGAGATAGGAGCGGAGGAAGGCAGGTGGAGGGCAGGAACACGAGCAGGCACGAGCACGAGCACGCCCCCTCCCCCGAGGCCCGCCTGGCGGCCGAAGACGGTGCACTCGAGCAGCGAGTTGCCCGCCAGGCGGTTGTTCCCGTGCACCCCGCCGCTGGCCTCGCCGATGGCGTAGAGCCCGGGCATGGGGGCACCGTCCGCATCTCGGAGCACGCGGGCCTCGGCGTCGATGGCGATGCCGCCCATCGTGTAGTGGATCACCGGGGTGATCTGCCCCACGTAGAAGTCCTTTGGGCGCCCGAATTATCCGAGGTAACTCGGGTCCGGGGTAAGTCGGGTTTGGATTCCCGAAAAAGGAACCCGAGTTATCCCTGACCCGAGTTACCCCTGATGATTCGGGGCTCTGGACGCCCGAGTTGTCCGGGGTAACTCGGGTCCGGGGTAGGTCGGGTTTGGATTCCCGAAAAACGAACCCGAGTTATCCCTGACCCGAGTTGCCCCTGATGATTCGGGGCTCTGAGTCCTCGTCCGGCTCGACCGGCCAGTGGCCCTCTGGGAACACGGTGCGGCCAAAGCGGTCGCGGCCCGCCTCGGCCGCGGCGTTGTACTCCGCGAAGGTCTCGCGCAGGTTGCTGGCGGGCACGCCGAGCCTCCCCGCCAGGCCGTCGATGCCCTGCACCCTCACCAGCAGTCCCTTGTGGCTGTAGAGAGTCGCGTGGCGGTCTGCCATCCGCGCCGCCTTCCCGTTCAGCACGATGGAAAACGTCCGGGCCGGATGCGGCGCTGCGAGGTCCAGCCCCGCCTTGGCGGCCTCCAACTCCGCGTCGACAACGGCTTGCCGGGTGCCCAGCTCGTCCGTGAACCTCCTGCCATGCCTGTCAAGCAGCAGCCCCCCCACGCCGCGCAACAGTTCCGCGCCCAGTGTCTTGGTGGTCTCCTGGGGCTTCTGCGGGTCCACAAAGCCCGTCGGGTGCAGCTGCACCCTGTCCATGTCCACGAGGCGCGCGCCCAGGTCCCTCGCGATCTTTACGCCGTCGCCCGTGGTCTGAGCCCCCAGGGTCGTGGGGAAGTCGGCGAGGTCGGGCCGGTGCAGGAGCAGGAGGCTCTCCGCCTCCTTGGAGTCGTGCCCGAAGCCGCCCGAGGCGATGATGAGAGCGGCTCCCTCGATCACAGCCTCTGTGCCGTTCGTCTCCACGGTAGCACGCCAGCCATGGCCCCCCTGGGCAGCACGGGTCAGCTTGGCCTTGGAGAGCATGCGGAGATGCCCTGGCGACTCCGCGGCGGCCTTCTTCAGGATCTCCCCAGCCGCGAAGGTGATCTCGGCACCCACGAAGGCGTTCGAGGGCCGCAACGTGCGCTTGGCGGTGTGGCCGCCGAGCTGGGACCGCATGGAAAGGTCGACACCCGTGCGATCTCTCAACCACGAGACTGCGGCCGCAGAGTCCTTCGCAAGCTTCTCTATCAGCACCTCCCTCACCAGCGACCCGGCGCTCCTCGTGGTATCGCTGACGAGCGACTCCACGGAGGTGTCGATCGCGGCGTTGATGCCCGAGGACGCCTTCCCAGAGTTGCCTCCCAAATAGGGCTGCTTGTCCACCAGCACCACCCGCGCACCGCGGTCTAGCAGCGTCAGGGTCGCCACCATACCGGCGAGACCCCCGCCCACCACCACCGCGTCCGCTGGATTCTCGGGAGACCCCAGCGGACCTGCGGGCAGCGCTGCGGCTGCTGGCGCGGCAGCCGCGGCCTCCCGGGCGAGGGCCACGAAGAGTTCCGGGCGCGCGGCGGCGTAGTGCCTTGCGAGCAACAGCACCTCGTCGCTCGCTGGGCGCACGACCAGTGACCGGAGCACCTCGAACTCCTCGGCAGCCGACAGCGCCCCAGCGTGTGCTGCCGCGCGTACCGCCCCAAGCGCGGCGTCCAGCAGCTCGAGGCGCGACCCGGCCCCCACGCTGCCCGCGGGCGGCGGCGGCGGCGCAGCCACGCGCGGCGGGGCGGCAGGCGCTGGCGCCGCCGCTCCCTGACTGGGACTGGGCCGCGTGCTGGCCTCGCGCTCTTGGTAATAGCGCTCGGTGAGAACCCGGGCGTCCTCCATCGCCTCGGACAACTTCCAGAGCGTGTGGACCATGGCGACCACCTCGTCCCGCGTGGTGCTCATGGCAATGAGGTGCGGGGGCGTCAGCAGGATCTTCAGCGCGGAGCCAAGGCCGAGGGAGAAAACCTTCGCGTGGAGGCGGCACCGCTGGCACTGTACACAATCGACCAGCACTGTGATATTCTTGAAGACGGACTTGAACTGCCGCTTCAACTGGCTCCTTTGCTGGGACGAGGCGCCTTCCCCGAAGAGCCGGGTCTCGTCGAAGGCGTCGAAGAGCGGGGAACATAAGGAGAGCACCTGCGAATCCAGGAGCCGGTTCACGAGGCTCTTCGTCTGGTTGTCGTCATTCATGCTGCCAGTGGCATACGGGTACGTCTGCAGAAAGGGGGCGGCCTTTTTGACGGCCCTCAGCATCACGACGAAGGAGAAATGGAGGTTCTTGACCCTCTCTGGGTGCTGGCCGATGTCTGTCATGAAGCGGTCCAGGTTCGGGGCCCAGGCGCCTTTCTCCTTCCGGAGCAGGGCGAGTCGAGACACCGGCAACTCAAGATCAGTCCTCAGACCCCTCCCGGGGTCCCAAACGCACCAGTTTTCCGAGCTGCGCCCAGCCGTGGCGACGATGGGGGCCCCCGAAGGCCAACTACCGTTGCCTCAACTCGCCCTCCTCGGATCCTTGGTGCCCGGGGCGTAGAAACTCTTCACCACGGACAGAGTAGTGGACGCGTGCCAGCCGCTCAGCAGCCGGTACAGCACCCGCTCCTCGTAGCACATGCCGCTGTCCTCGTGCGTGGTCGCGAAGCGTCCCCGTGGCAGGGAGCTTCCCACCTCGAAACAATTCTCCTGGTACATGGCCTCCCAGATGTGGGAGCCGTTGTACCCAGTGTTCCGCTCGGGGTTCTTGATGAGATTTACATCCTGAGGGGGCTCTGGGACCATGTCAGGGCGAGTCCCAACGTTCCTGGCCTGGGTAGGCGAAAAGGCCCCCACGGCGATGAATGGGCGATTTGGGGGCGATGCCCTGCCCCCTGAGCCTGTCCCCCCACGCTGCCGTTGCCCCTGACGTCCTCCAGCTCCCCGCCCTTGGCGCTGTCGCAGGAGGTCATGTCCATCCAGTAACTTGGCAAGTCCTCCTCGAACTCGCACTCCGATTCGCTCAAGTTGTCGCGGGTGCTGGAGGCGATCTGCTCAGCCGCGGTCATGGACATATCGAGTTCCGGATCGCCGCCGCCAGCGTCGATGGCTGGCTCCTCGGAGTCGATGCCGCAAGGCACATCGGGGGCTTCCGTGGCACTGGCACCGAACGTGAACGCTCCAGGAGCGCCGAAGCCCAGACCACCGCCGCTGCAGGTGGCACCGCCCGCGTGCTCGTCCTCCTCCTCGGAGTGACTGCAGAGACATGCAGGCGCGGCGGCCTCGTCCCTCATCTCTTCATCCTGCCACCTCTCCCCTGCCTCTCCTTCTCGGCGCGATTGCAGAAGAATGCAGGCGAAGGGGTCTGTTCAGAGACGACGGGTCCTGCGATAAGAAGGCTGGGCCAGATCCTCATGATTTTCCTGGCCAGGTACCAGGGAGGGGGGATGATCCCCATGGGCTTCCTGGCCAGGTACCAGGGTGTCAGTTCCTCATGAGTTGTCTGGCTGGGCCAGATCCTCATGGGAGGGGGGATGATCCCATGGGAGGTAAATACACAAGGCCAGCGCTCTGTGCGCCTGGACAGCTGAATCAAGTAGTGGGCCGTGCATGAGATCTTCTCGGTGGAAGGAGTCAGCGTTGGGGTCTTAGCTTTCCAAGCCTCCGTCGGGCCGAAACCATCCCTGGCGGACACGTCCATCCGTCCATAAAAAAAGTAAACAAGATTTAGGATGTCCGCGTGAATTCCTCGGGTCGTCGCTGGATCCCCCCTGGCACGCCGGGGAACCCGTGCGGACCCCATTTGAAGTTATGCAGCTGCTGCGTTCTCTGCCAACAAAGTCTGCGTTGCCCACGGGTCCTCCGCTGAGGCCTTCTGCCAGAAGGGGCACGCGGGAACCACGGATACGCGAAAGAGCCTGAAGAACGTGGTATTCACCAGGTCGTGCAGGATCGGGTGCAGCTGGTGGATGTTGGCGCCCTGCACCTACCAGGAATCCAGCGAAGAGTCAAAAGCATCGGTGGAGACTGCTCAAATGTGTCCATGGTGGATAAGGTCGGGGGATCGCGCCGCATCGCCGATGCATTGGCGATGCATCGGTGACGTCGGGATACAACATAACGGGCGTCGGATCGCGCTGCAGCGCCAGTATACCGGCGAGGCGGCGCGATCTTCAGACCCCGTCTACCCTGGCCCCTGCTGAGCGGCCTGGAATCGGGACAGAACTCCGAACACTTTGGAAAGAACCTCTGAGTTTTACAAGTGCCCGATCCTGCAGAAGGATCGCTTTCGCCCACGTCGTGCCTGCCCCCATCAGGGAATTATGATTCTCGGGCCGCTGCAACGGAATGGGTGAATTACACTCATGGTTCACAATCGCAAGGTGGTCTGCCTCTTCCGCTGTCACGCCCTGTTTCTAATCATGTTCCTCATCCTCTTCCCGCCGCCTCCCTCGAAATACTCCCTCATGTCCATCATCATCCGTCTCATCCTCTTGCTTGTCCATGTCCACCTGCTGCTTCTACCCCTTCCTGCACCTCGTCACCCCCCGCGCCCTTTTTCTCCCCCTCGTATTCCTCCTCCCCCACTCCTTCTCATCCTTCTGTCTCTCTCTCTCTCTCTCTCTTTCTACGTAGCTCTCTCTCTCTCTCTCTCTCTCTCTCTCTCTCTCTCTTTCTCTTGAGAAAGAGAGGGAGAGAGAGAGAGAGAGAGAGAGCGAGAGAGAGACAAACAGACAGACAGACGCCACGGAACGAAGCGTTCCTGCCTCCGACGCCCAGTCCGCAGACGCCACCGCGCGCCGCCGCCGAGCCGAGCAACGACTGCTGCGAACAGAGAAGGGGGAGGGATGCTCGCACATCCTCGGGAGAGGCCAGGAAGTAACTCCTGAAAGGCCTTCGCAAGAAAGGCTCTTCGGCTCGATTGCGGGCCATTAATTCGAATGGGGTTGAGTAAGCCCGAGGATAAGCCGGATTCAGCAGCATGAAACCGGATTCAGCGGGACTCTGCTGGATTAGGTCGCCTCTCGACCACGGAAGCACCAGCGCAGATGCCGAAGTTGAAACCTCCCAGGAGTTGTATCCTAGCCTGGGGACCCGAGAGAGCCCGGCCCACGGCCCCCCGCGCCGAAGGACCCCCAGCCCAAGCCGCGCAGGTCCCCGCGACGTCCTCGTCCTGCGTGGTCATGGCGCCCGCCGCATCGACCGCGCGTTCTCGCCCTGTGCGGTCGCTGAAGCCACGTGCCAGCGCATGGCCGCCCCCAGGGCCAGCCCCTTGGAGCAGCCTCGCCCTGCGCCGCGCACCAGCTGGGCGCCGCGCTGCGGCCGCATGTCGGGATCGGGCCCCGACCGCCGCCTGGCCAAGGCTCGGAGGCACCCAAATTGCGGGTCCCGCGTGCGAAATCCTCGTCCGGCGCGGCACGCACGCGTTCTCGCCACTGCGCTCGTGGAAAGTTCGCGCAGAGACAGGGCCGCCCGCAAAGTCGCCCGCAACTTCCGTCGCCGCGCTCATCGAAACACCGGCGCCAGTGAGCGGTCGCCACCAGTGGAGGAGGAACCAGCGGCATAACACAAAAGCGCCAATCCAAGAAATCCGAGCGGAACTCCGGAAATGCATGTTTACGCGATGTTTCCCCATATCCTAAGACGGGGTGCTTGTTATTACTTGGACGCCCCCTACTCCTTCTTCTCCCTCCTCTCCTTCCCCTCCTCCTCATACCCAGACTTACTCACACTCACATTTACTCATACCCAGACTTACTCAGACACAAACTTACTCATACTCAGACCTACTCATACTCAGACCTACTCCTACTCGGAGTTACTCATGCTGAGACTCACTCATGCCCAGACTAACTAATACTCCGACTTTTCCCAGATTTACTCATACTCAGACCTGCTCGTACGCAGACCTTTTCATTGTCTGACTGATTCCACACACACAGCAGATTGTGAGGATGTCTCAGGCGGGGCGCTGGCTTCAGCCCCCCTAAGGGGGGCCGCCAGGAGTGTTTTCACGGTCCCGTTAGTAGCCGTTTTGTGGGGATGTCTCAAACGGTTTGCTTGTTTTCTGTCCCAACATCCTTGGCGATCCGAGCAGATCGTGAGGATGTCTCAGGCGGGGCGCTGGTTTCAGCATCCCTGAGGGGGCCGCCAGGGGTGTTTTCACGGTCCCGTTCGCGGCCGTTTGGTGGGGATGTCTCAAAACGGTTTGCCTGCTTTCTGTCCCAACATCCTTGGCGATCCGAGCAGATTGTGAGGATGTCTCAGGCGGGGCGCTGGTTTCAGCACCCCTAAGGCGAGCCACCAGGGGTGTTTTCACGGTCCCGTTCGCGGCCGTCTTGTGGGGATGTCTCAAACGGTTTGCCTGTTTTCTGTCCCAACATCCTTGGCGATCCGAGCAGATTGTGAGGATGTCTGAGGCGGGGCGCTGGTTTCAACACCCCTAAGGGGAGCCGCCGAGGGGTATGACACGGTCCCGTTCGCGGCCGTCTTGTGGGAATGTCTTAAGCGGTTTGCCTGTTGTATGCCCCAACATCCTTCACTTAGAGAGCAGATTGTGAGGATATCTAAGGCGGGGCGCTGGTTTCAGCACCCCTCAGGGGAGCCGCCAAGGGGTATGACACGGTCCCGTTCGCGGCCGTCTTGTGGGGATGTCTTAAGCGGTTTGCATGTTTTCTGCCCCATCATCCTTCGCTCGGAGAGCAGATTGTGAGGATGTCTGAGGCGGGGCGCTGGTTTCAACACCCCTAAGGGGAGCCGCCGATGGGTGTGCCATGGTCCCGTTCGCGGCCGTGTTGTGGGGATGCCTCAAGCGGTTTGTTGCTTTCTGCCCCAAACATCCTTCGCTTGGAGAGCAGATTGTGAGGATGTCTCAGGCGGGGCGCTGAAAGTCTCCCAAGTCTCCCAAGTCTGTCAGGCCTCCTAAGTCGCCCAAGCATCCCAAGCTTCCCAAGCTTCCCAAGTCTCCCAAGTGCCCCAAATCTTTCATGCCCCCCAAGTCTTTAAAATCCCCCAAGTCCCGCAAGTCTCCCACGTCTTCCATGTCTCCCAGCAGGAATACCAAGTCTCCTAAGTCTGTCAAGTCTCCCGAGGCGACCAACTCTCCCAAGTGTCCCATGTCGCCCAAGCCTCCCATGTCTCCCAAGGTTCGCAAGCCTCCCAAGTCTCCCGAGTCTGCCGAGTGCCCCATGTCTCCCAAGTCTCCCAAAGTTCCCAAGGCTCCCAAGGCCCCCAAGTCTACCACGTCTCCCAAGTCTCCCACGTTCCCCGAGTCTCTCAAGTCACCCAAACCTCCCACGTCATCGCTATGACCTATTAGGAGGAGGAGCGAAGAAGATGGGCGCAGATTCAGTTGTATTCAAACCTCACGTTCACTCATACTCACGCGCATCGGTGTTTGACCGTCTTCGTCGGACCTGTCGACCACGTGGACGCGCTCTAATAGTCAGGCATTCATAGAGAAATGTTCACTATGGCATATCATAAAACATGAGATGCGCATATGGGGAGCTCCACGCAGTGAGAAATTATCATTATTATTCTTCTTCTTCGACACCAATGTCGCCTGATCGAAGCAGCGGCACCGACGAGCGCCCTCGATCAGGGAGGCAGCCTGGTGCTGCCCCCCCGTCTCGTAGCACGAGCACTGCCATGTGTCCCTGGCGCAAGGTGCCCCCAGGATTCCCGAGGAGGCCCAGATGGCCTTTGGGGCACCCCTCACAAGGCCCGAAAGTTCCCCCCAAAGCTGGGGACCCCTTGGGCCAGGACTGCTTCTGGCAACCCCCAGATCTGGCCAGCGCTCGGCACCCCGCCATCATCGTGGAAGCACCGCTCCTGCACCTGCCGGGCTCTGGGCGCGGTGCATCTCTTGCTATGAAAGGGTCTTGTTGAGACAGCGCTGACGCGGGGTGGACAGCGCAGCACATCGATCGGCGCTCTCTGCTGCATGCACCAGGGCTGAGCAAGCCAGGGGCTGACGCGAACACACGTGCTACCACTGCTGACGGAACCTACAAGTCTTTCCAAGCGGTCCCCAACCCCAATGCTGACCGGGCCCTGCGCCGCTCAACTTCATAGACTGGCAGAGATCCAATACAAGTGTCCGTGTGGTGGGCGGCGTAAGCCAACATCGGCAGGCTCAGTGGGTGCGGGCCGTGCCGAGGCTCCACATACCCAGTGGGCCCGTCTCGACGTGGGGCGAGAATTCCCTCGGGCGTGCAGCAACCGAAGGCGCACGGCGGGGGCGGGGCGGCCACACGGCTCGAGTGGCCGTGAGGGGCAGTGCGGGCTCTGGCTGGATGAAGTGTGGTCTTGCTCCTGCTTGCTGTTGCTGTTTGGTCTGGTTGCCGTCGTGGTTGCTGTGTTGCCGGTAGTTGGGTGGCATATCGGCCTAGCCGTTGCTTCTGCTCGGCTGCTCGTACCACCGCCCCCAGCGTCCCCCAAGGCGCACCCACCACGAGGTGCCTGGTTTTGAATTTGGCAAGACATCATACATCCTGCCTCTGTGAGGGGTCGCTCGGGGGACATCCAGCCCATCACCATTCTCACTCTCTGAGGTGTTGAGCAAGAGTTCTGCTCTGTCATAGGTATTAGGCACTCCCTTCTGTTTTATGGATTACGGTCTTTGAGGGTCTGTGCGACAGTCATTGTCGCGCGGTGTCACGCTGCCACGGTGCGTCGGGAGATCTAGTGTCTCCGAGGGGGTAGCGTAAGTTGGCTGATGCATGAACTTTGCTTGAGTGTCTCCCAACGTGGCCGACAAACTTAGAAGTCCTACCAGATGCAAAGTGTCTCTCCGTTTTATCCAGCTGGCGCGATTTCTTGATACAATTAAAGTTGTCCGCACCATCGCGTGCTTAGGTACCTTCTGGTCACTTTCCCGCGCTTCGCGGGCATCCCACCGAACAGACTCTCGGAATATCGCTTGCGAGTGGGACTTCCTCTCCGAGGGGCGCCGCCTCCAGGGTCGCTCAGGGGCATCCGGCATCGAGCCTACAAATGATCGCAGGATCCTGCAGATATTGCCCCATCTGGGTTACAATAGCGCTCCCAGGCTCACGAGGCTCACACGTCAGCGCCCCGCATTATGATTGCAGCGTCTCCCTGGCGACTGCTTCAGCAGCATGGGTCGCCACAGCAAGGAATAGCATGAAACACATGTTCGGTTTTATAATGCTGCGCGGCTGTACAATATTCGATTCGCACCCGCGACCCTCATCCTGCGAACAGCCACCAACGTCTCACTGTATTTATACCTGGTCCTGGCACAACACGCCCACTCTAGCTCAGAGCTGGTCCTCCGTCGGCCAAAACAAACAGAACAGCCAAGAGTAGCCTCCCCAGGATGCACAAGAACATCCAACAAGCACGAAGAACACTAGGGCACCCTCCCCGAAACGACCTCGATCTTACACCTCGGTCCGCCCGTATCGACTGAGCCCCTCCCGCACCGCCCGCCAACACGGCTGGAGGCTGCGAGATGTCGCGCCGGCCTCCGCGGCCTCGGCGCAGGCCCACCGCGGGCTTTTTCCCCGCGGCGAGCGGCGGGCGCGTGCTTCTGGGCCGTCTGCCGGAGCAGGCGGCCTCCTCCGCTGCCTCGGAAGCTCCGCCCCGCACCACCGTGCAGCAGCGGCCGCTTCTGCCACCACTGCCGCACTCGCCGCCCTGCAGGGCCCGCGCTCTCGGCGTCCACGGCTCAGTGTGGCGCTCTCGCCACGGCGCGGGCCCACACTTCTGGATCCGGGTGCTTCCCTTGCCGTTGCCGTCTCCGCTCTCTCCCACCTCTCCATGCTCTGCATTCCCCTGGTGCTCTTGCTGCTCCTGCTGCTCCTGCTGCTCCTCCCCCCTCCACCTCCTCCTCCTCCTCCTCCTCCTCCTCCTCCTCCTCATCCTCGTCCTTCCTCATCCTCCTTCTCCTGCCACTCCGCATTCTCCGACGCCCTACCGGCCTTCTGAGAAGCCGTCTCTGCCTGCGGGAAGGCTCAGAAAGCTCCTCCAAAGGCCGGAGGAATCTTGAGAAGGCCCTCCCCCTCTGACCTTCCCCTTGGGCTCTCGCCGCCGAATATCATCGTCCCCTTCCTCCTCCCCCCTCTACGGTCGGGAACTTTTGCTCAGCGTGTCGCAGCCGCAGCCCAAGCGACACGCTATGCCCTGCGAGCGGATAGCGTGTCGCTCCGCTCCGTGGGGAAGACTCGGAGCTGCTCGGGACGCCGACGTTTGGAATCGGGGACGTGGATCGCATGCCGCGCCGAAGAGTGGTGGGCCAGAGTCAGCGGAGCGACCCGCCAAGCCAAAGATCCCGACCCCACCCTCCGCGCCGTGTCCATGTCGCAGGTCACGTCGCCCAGCTCCCTGCTGCCCGCCAGCGCAAAGAGCGCGTCCCCGCCCGCGCCCGCGGCGGGCGGCACCCACGCGCACGCCGTGGCGAGCGCCGCCAGCAGCGCCCGCCTGCGCGCGGGGAGCCCGACGGCGTGAGAGCTTCGGCGGCGCAGACGCGGTGCGAGGACGAGGGAGGCGACGAGGAGAAGAGCGCGAGGGTGAAGGGGCCCAGGGACACACAAATAAACAGACAGAAATCCAAGGACTTCCAATGTTGTTCCCGCAGTTTCTGGGTTTCCGTCCTTCCCCCCACTTCCCGTACTTTCCCAGAATCTCTTGGGAATCGGCGATGATTTGCGTCTGTGTGTTTATCCCCTCCTGAGAGGGGGGCGACGAAGACGGCCTGCTCGTGCTGCCAGGCGATCCTCCTGGGCTGCGACCTGTGGCTCGGGCCCCTAAGGGCCCACACCTCCGCCCCCCTTGAGGCCCACGATGGCCCCCCTCGCTCTCGGTCCCAATGCCGCAGCCCCCGCCCGTGGCTCCCAGGAGCACTCGACCCCGTGCCCTTCCCGTCGCTCGCATCTGGGCTTGGGCGACGTCGGGGTCGTTCTGCGCTGCACTTCTCGAGCGCGGCCATGCTATACGAGGCGGGCCGCGCTCTCTGACGCTACAGGGGGAGCCAAAAGGTACCGCTATCGCTACTCCTCGGACCTCTCCCAGGGTGCGTTCTGGCCCAAATCTCGAAGCGAATCCAACGGTGGCGACGGGGGCCCCCCCCAGGAGGCCCAATAATGAGAAAAAACGGGGGAAGCGTAGCGGTATCGGTACCTTTCTCCTGTTCTGAGTTACGGGCAAGAGCTGGCCCGACAGCTTGTCGAAGAAAAGGGGGCGATGGGGCAAGGTAAGACAGACAAGGCAGGGCGGTCTGCGTGCCAGCGCTAGTGCGAAGTGCGGTTTTTGGAGGGCAGACGAGAAAGCAAGCGCAGAGTCGGCCGAACGCCGCGTGAGCAGTCTGTGGTTCCCGCTGAGGCGACAGCTGCCACATCGCGGAGCGGGGGGAGGATGATAACGCTTGCGCGCGGTTGCGCCGTGGGTCTCCCACGTGGGCCTCGGTCGCGCAGCCGCGGGCACCGCTCCTGGCAGAGGGGGGCGCCAGAGGAGCCGTGTGTCAAAATGCCCACCCCCCCACACTCTCCATCCAGTTCCGTGTGAGCCGTTCCTCCTCGCCGCTCCACTCGTAGGGCGGGCCGGGCGTTCCGCAAGAGAACCCTCCTCAAACACACACACACACATGTTGGTCCAGAAGCTAAACTTCCAACGGCGAGGCAGATACAGGGCGAAACTCCTATAACACATTACCCTGGCCCTGGCGTTGCACGTTGTCGCCTTACACCTTGCAACAAGTGCGCGGATGGAGAGCGATTCGTTTGCGAAGTGTGGCTCTCGTCTTCGCACTGTGCAGATGCGTCTTCACGGATGGAGGTGGCGTCCTTTTCACAACGTGGCTCTCGCCCCGGCGCCTCGCACATCCGTCTTAGGAGCTGGCAGCAGCTGCAACGATGGAAGGCTGCGCCTCTGCAAAACGGGACTCCAGCACAATTCTTGCTCACACTGCATGGTCCGAGGCCAAAGCATGCCCAGACATCTGACGGCAAAGGGGCGGCCGCTTCTCAAGGCGGAGCATCCGCAACAGACTTGCTGTGGCGCTACAGCCCGAAACCTCAACGTTTGCAACACCTACACTGTTGAAGGGTGGTTCCTCCATCAACGCTGGGGATGCCATACACACGTGTTTGAATTTCAACCTCATACATTTTGGCATGGAGACAGCTACAATGATGGAAGGCGAATCCTTATGGAGACGGGGAGAACAGCTTCAATGGCAGGTCCATGGGGCGCTAGTAGGACGCGCACCCGCAGTGAAAACATATACTTGTATTGCAAGGGGTCTTGGAGGACGGGACTTGGGACGCAAGAGTGCTGCAGCATTGTTGTTGATGTATACGCGCCTTACTCTGGTCTTCTCCCTGTCCATACTACCACAAACTTGCGGTTGCTCCTCTTCCCACTCCATCCCCCACCTCCTCCTCCTCCTCCTCCTCCTCCCTTCCTCCACCCTTTGCCTCATCCTCTGTGCTTTGCATTTCCGTGGGACGCCCAGATGCACCTCTGATAAACGGGTGTCATAACGATTCAACCTTTACCAGCGCTTATTCAAAACACAGACAGCCGAATTGACTGCAAGCACTGCGTTGGACTCTGTAGGACTCCATGCTTATCCATTGGGTTCCATTGACCTTCGTCGGGGTCCATTTTTCAACATTGGACTCCAGTGGCCGCCATTGGACTCCATTGGACTCTATTGGGCTCCACTGGACTCCTGAGGACTCCGTTGGACCCCATCGAGTTCCCTGGGACACCATGTGGAGTCCATCGAATTCCATTCGTCCCCAGTGGACTCCACTGGAACACCCAGACGACGCCCTTGGACTCGCCTCGCGGGTGGCGGGCCCGGCGGGCCGGCCTTCCCTGGTGCCCTGGTTCCCTGGTTCCTTGCTGCGCTCCTCGGGTTCCTCGGTCTTGGTGCCCTGGTGCCCTGGTTCCCTGGTTCCCTGGTTCCCTAGTTCCTTGTCACGGTGATGGCATTGGATACGGGAAACTTCGATAAGGAATCCAGGGTCTGGGAGCCAGTGGAAAGCCAATCTTGGCTTGGCCATGGATATCACCGCCGCCCTCGTCAGAGAAGGAACCCTCCAGGGTCTGAAGCCTCCTGGGCACGCTTCCTCGCGAACGCCCCCACCGTACCTCGGTTCCTTGGTCTTGGCTCCTGGGTTCGATGGCCACGCCTCGCAAGGCGATGCCGAGCAATGCGGTGCAAGGCCAGGACATGCCAGGCAACATGCCACGCAGTGTGCCAAGCACTGCGCCCATGCCATGGGAAGATTTCCCCAGTTGGGATCTCGCCAGGTTCACTGCATCGTATTGGACTCCATTGTTCTCCATGTGGCTCCATTCGAATATCCATGGACTCCACTGGACTCCATTGGTCCAGTTGCAATCCTTGCGAACACCCATACGGCTCCATCGGAGCTCATTGAACTACACTAAACTCCATAAGACTCAGTTGGCCTCCATTGGACAACATTGGACTCAGTTGGGACCAGGGCGCACCATTGGACAACATTGGACTCCAGTGGACTCGATTGGACTCACTGGGTCTCCATTGAACCCCACAGGACTCCAGTGGGCTCCATTTGACCCCACTGGATGACATTGGACTGCATAGGACTCCATGGGGCTCCTCCTGTTCTGCTCGAACTCTCGATGAGGATGAGACCGCGGTGGACAAATACAACAAAAAAAGATTAGCAGGCCTGGGGTTATTCCTCCTCCTCCTCCTCCTTTCCCCTTTCCTCCTGCCCCACAGAGCGGGAGGGAAAGGACGGGGAGGGGGTACTTTAAGATCCCTCCGCCCCGCTCCAGCCGACCAGGCACCCGCAGCCATGGCGGCGGCCGCGGGTAGCCTCGCACGCGGTGGTGGTGGACGAAGGCGCGCGCTCGAGCGCGCGCACTAGCGCCGCGCTCGAAGGTGAGCCGCCCGCGCGCCGTGGGCTGCCTGAGCCAAGGTTTACCCACTGCCGGCATTGGACCCACCGCTTGCCTCCAGCGAGGAGGGAGGGCCCCGGAAGTCGCGGGCCCATGTCGGAGGATGTGGTCCGTGTCGGGTTGGGCCTCTTGAGGCCTTCGGGAACACCTGAAGCGAGAACAGGAGCCGCTGCAAGCTGGAATGAGGTCGCGCCGCGGGCTCGACGCAAGGAGTGCGACGCGCAGTGATGCCGCTGCTCATGCCGAACTCTTTTCAGCCAGCGAGCGACGACTGCTCCCGTGAGCGGCGCGTCTCTGGGCCTCCGCCGAAACACCTGTGCGCGCGTTGGCGGGTGGGGAGCTGTCTCAGAGGCACCACAGCCGCTGTGCCCCCAGGAGCATACAGATGGCATCCGTGCCTGCAGCTGCTCGCTCCAGGGATCCAGCGTGCGGGCAGAGAAACCTGACATCTCAGAGCATCCCTGCCGCGGCAGAGGAGTGGCTCGGGTCTGAGGAAGATCCTGGCTTGTGGAGGACCTTCCGCACACAACACCCCTGCTGCCGTCGCCGCTTCTGCAGTCTGAAGCACCTGACGGTGGAGAGCAATTTGGGGTGCCAACGCTGTCTGAATTATGACAGGCACACAGATACAGTCCAGCTCAGTTGGCGAAGAGCTTGGCAACCATCTCAGCGCGTAAAGAAACAAGCATCGTATTAGACATAGCACACCTATGTGAAACACAAGCGACACAACGCGGGCAACATGATCGACCCACGAACCCGGAAAGGGATACAGAAATGTGAAGCATAGTAACGTGTTCAAGACTCCTGATTGGTCGACGGGCAAATGCAATGCTGAATCGATCGATCTTGATGTACCGTGTTGCCGTGCTGAACTGCGATGTGCCATGCCGCGATTGTGCTCTATAGCGTTGTGGGTCGAGTCCTCCTTAGCATTCGAGCCCTGACCGAACTGATCTGGATCTTCAGCTCGAGCTGCCTGAGCATACAATAGCCGCCCCAGAACTAGTTGAAGTAGAAACGTGGAGGACGTTCAATCATGTCAACCTCAAAATCCGACTCAGCTCCAACAAGGAGCGAGACGACACGTGGCACAGGCTCACGGACGCGCCACAGGATGTGCCAGGGGTGCAATAGGGGATGCGCCAGGGGACGTGTCAGAGGACGCATCAGGGGACGTGCCCTGGACGTGTCAGGGACCTGCCACGGGACGTGCCAAAGCGCGTGCCATGGGGCGGCCAGAGGACATCATGCCAAGGGACGCTGCAAGGGGGCCGCCACGGAACGGGCAGGGTAAACGCCTGAGGACGAGCAAGGAACCCCTACGGAGGACGAGCCAGGGAACGTGCCACGCCAAGTGGCGTGCTAGGGTATGTGCCAGGGCACGTCACGCCAGAGCGTCGCAAGGGACGCACCAGGGTGCGCGCCAGGGCGCCAAGGGGCGCCCCTACGGACGGGCGGGGTTGGACTGCGCAGCACTCTACTGCGACAAGCGTTTCGCTCGAGAGATCCTCAACAAATCCGCATGATGTTAGACATCCGCCTGGGCGATCTGGACACGTGAAACCAAGCGTCTCGCTCGAGACGTTCTCAACACCTCCTCATGATAGACATCTGCCTGAGCGACCTGGACACATGAAAACAAGCGTCGCGCTCGAGACAACCTCAACACATCCTGATGCTAGACATCCGCGTGGGCGACCTGGACACGCGAAAACAACGGTGTCGCTCAACACATCCTCAAAACATCCTCATGCTAGACATCCGCCTGGGCGACCTGGACACGTGACTCCCGAGACATCCTCAACACCTTCTCATCTTAACATCCGCCTGGGTGACCTGGACACGTGAAAACAAGCGTTTCCTCAACACGTCTCCATGCTACATCAGCCTGGGCGACCTGGGCGTGCGAAAGCAAGCGTCTCTCTCGAGACATCCTCAACACATCCTGATGCTAGACATCCGCCTGGGCGGCCTGGACACGTGAAACCAAGCGTTTCGCTCGAGATATCCTCAACACATCTTCATGCTAGACATCCGCCTGGGCGGCCTGGACACGTGAAAGCAAGCGTCTCGCTCGAGTCATCCTCAACACATCTTCATGCTAGACATCCGCCTGGGCGGCCTGGACACGTGAAAGCAAGCGTCTCGCTCGAGTCATCCTCAACACATCTTCATGCTAGACATCCGCCTGGGCGGCCTGGACACGTGAAAACAAGCGTTTCGCTTGAGACCTTCTCAAGAACTCATGATGCTAGACATCCGCCTGGGCGACCTGGCCACGTGAAAACAAGCGTCTCTCTTTCGAGACATCCCCAACAAAGCCTCATGATAAACATCCCCCTGGGCGACCTGGACACGTGAAACCAAGCGTTTCGCTCGAGACATCCTCAACACATCTTCATGATAGACATCCGCCTGGGCGACCTGGACACGCGAAAACAAGCGTCTTTCTCGAGGCATAACAACAAATCCTGATGCTAGACATCTGGTGGGGCAACCTGGAGGCGTGAAACCAAGCGTCTCGCTCGAGACATCCTCATGACCTGGGCACGTGAAAACATGCAGTTCACCTGAGACATCCTCTGAATTCTGGGCCCCAGGAAAAGAACAATCTATAGCACAAAAAAAGCGTTTCGCTCGAGACACCCTCAACACATTATGCAAAACCAGCGTTTCGCTAGAGAAATCCGCAACAAACGAAAATGCGTACTCTACCTTGTGATTGATCGATCGGCGTTTCGCCAAGGACATGCTCAACTTTTCAATTCGCCGGCCCTACGCGACCTCGTTATTCATCGCAGATTCAATTCTCCGGCCCTACGGAAGTCGAGGCCGGGGGGGAAACCATCTAAAAAAGAACCCTGGGCCCAGGCCCTTTCCGGAAAAACAAATTCTGTGTACGTAGCGACGCTGCGTCCTGCAACACAGGTAGCTCTCATCTAGAGAGACCAGCGCGGCAGGGGGAATAAAAACGACTGACATCCACGGAATGCAACGGGGCTGGAAAACGAGGACTCCACGGCGACGAGGAGTGAGGAGAAGGAGGAGTCAAGCAGCTCCAAAGCAGCTGATCGTGCTGGACATGTTCACAAGCACCCGCACCTTCGCATGGTGCTTGACAACCAAGCTATGGGGCTCGTACACGATGAAGAACTCACCGTCTACCTGCATGTACGTCCGGCCCTTGCAGTGCGACGTTCCCTTCGCTGGCATGGATGAAAAGGGTCCTGATGGAAACAGGTTCTGGACCCCGAGGTTTTCCCTGGGACCGGCGTTTCGCTCTGAGTGGCTTCTTCTCGGCCATGGGGCCTGGGGAAGCTCAGGGGAGCTTGAAGCTGGAGAACAACATCCAAGCCCCCCCCTCATCCAAGACCCCTTTTCACAATAATAGGGCTACTGTTCTTCAAAAACATGATCGACCCACGAACCCGGAAAGACATTCAGGAAATTTATAGCATCGCAGATTGTTCAAAGACACCAGATTGGGCGATGGGCACATGCAATGCTGAGTGTATCGATCTTGATGTACCGTGCCGAGGGCTGTGCTGTGCTGCGCTGTGCTGAATTGTGATGTGCCATGCCGCGATTGTGCTCTATAGCGTTGTGGATCCAGTCCTCCTCTGCATCCGAGTCCTGACCGAACTGATCTAGATCTTAAGTTCGAGCTGCCTGAGCACACAGTAGCTGCACCAGAGCTAATTGACACGGGGAAATGCCAGGAGGACGCGCCGCGGAACGTCTCAAGGGACGCGCCAGGGGACGTGCCAGGGGACGTGCCACGGGGACGCACTGCGGGACGTGCCAATGGGACGCGCTACCGAACGTGCCAATGGACGTGCCACGGGACGTGCCAGGGGACGCGCCGCGCCACGTGCCAGGGGGACTCGCCACGGGACGCGCCACGGAACGTGCCAGGGAACGTGCCAGGCGACCCACCAGGGAACGTGCCAGAGAACGCGCCACATCGCAAATGACGCTGCTCCCGAGGCCACGATCCCCCGTGAATTACGCTGCGTCCGCGCTCCCTGGGCCACGATCCCTCGTAAACTACACTGCGTCCGCACTCCCAGGGCAGCGCTCCTTTTTGAATTACCCTTCGTCCGCGCTCCTTGGGCCACGTTCCCTAATAAATTACACTGTGTCCGCCCCCCCAGGGCCGCGATCCCTAATACATTACGCTGCGTCCGCGCTCCCAGGGCCACGAGCTATCGTAAATTACGCTGCGTCCGCGCTCCCAGGGGCACGATTCATAGTAAATTACATCAGTTACGCTGCGTCGGCGCTCCCAGGGCAGCGCTCCTTCAGGAATTATGCTGCGTCCGCGCTCCCAGGGCCACGTTCCCTAGTAAATTACGCTGCGTCCTCCCCCCAAGGCCGCGATCCCTAATAAATTACGCTGCGTCCGCGCTCCCAGGGCCACGACCTATCGGAAATTACGCTGCGTCCGCACTCCCAGGGCCAGGATCCACCGTAAATTATTATGTGCCCGCGCTCCCAGGGCCACGTTCCCCAGTAAATCACGCTGCTTCCGCTCTCCATGAGCTACGGTCCCTCATAAACTACGCTGCGTCCACGCTCCCAGGGCTGCGCTCCCTCGTGAATTACGTTGCGTCTGCCCTCACAGGGCTACGTTCCTTAGAAAATTACGGTGTTCGAGCTCCCAGAACCACCTCGGCATCCTGGGGCGCCCAGGCCGCTCGAGTTCTGCAAAACAAGTGTTTCGCTCGAGACATCCTCGAAGCGTCTCGCTCGAGACATCCTCAAAACCGAGGCACGTGAAAACAAGCATTTCACCTGAGACATCCTCTGAATTCTGGTCCCCAGGAGAGGAACGTCCTAAAGCACAAAACAAATGTTTCGCTCGAGACGTCCTCAACAGATTCCGCAAAACAAGCGTTTATGTTGACACATCCGCAACAAACGAAAATGCTTACTTATCTTGCGTTTTATCGGTCGGAATTTCAAGAACCAGCGTTTCATTCGGGGCCTCCTCAATTGTTAATTCGCTGGCCCGTCTCGACCTCGTTAATCACCGAAATAACAAAAAATGCTGGCCCGTCCCAAGTCGCCCCCGGGAATAAAACCTCTAAAAGAGAACCCTGGGCCGGCGCCCTTACCGGGAACAAGCACATGAACAACAGAAACAAACAAATCCTTAACACACACACACACACACACACATAAACACGTTCGAGGGTCCACGCGGATCCACACCCCTTCCTCACGCGCGGAGCGCGCCAGGGGCGACGCGGGAGGCGCCGCAAGGGGGGCCCAGCCGCCGATCCAGGAAACCCGCGCGAAACTCCGAAAGCTCAGGTTTACGCAGCTTTGTTGTCCCTCGTCTCACGGCGACCTTCACGAACTCCGCATCGCTCGGGTTCTTAAACTTCAGCCTCAGCGGCTCCGCGCCCTGGTAGATGCGGTGCCCCCTGCCGCTGACAGTCGCGGGGGACCGCAGCTGCTCGAGGTAGAAGCCGATGCCGGTGCGGTAGGCGATGCACTCGAGCTTGCCGTCGCCGAAGTCCTGCGGAGCAAGAAGGGCGGGGCGGCTCGAGGTTCGAGGATCGATGGTGATCGCGAGCGGCGGGCGTGTGCACAGATCAGCGCCCTCGCGGTCTGGGCTCTGGGGCGCGAGCCCGTGGATGCGCGGTCGTGCGGACGCGCTCCGCGCGGGGCAGCTGTGAGTGAGGCGCCCCGTGCCCACGGGGCCGCGGCCCAGCGTGGCCAGCCCGCGAGGCCATGGATGCGGATACGTTCCCGCGTGCCAGAGCATCCGAGCTGTGGCGAGCTGCGCGCTCTCTTTGAGCCCCCAGGACGCCTCCCGTCGCCATGGCCGGATTCAACCAAGGAGATTCTGGCCGCGACGAGCCCCCGCAGAGGTGCACGGGGTAGCCTTCCGTCTCCGAGGTCCTGCGGGCACTTGAGCAGGTCGCTCGGGCCGCTGATGCCCATCCTGCTCTTGGACCACTTCCAGATGTCCAGCCCGCCGGCGATGCTCGGGATGTTCATGAATATCAAGGACACCGGGTTTCCCACGAGCTTCTTGTCATCACCGTCGTCTTGTCGGCCTGCCTTGAAAACGACCGCCCGCTCGTCTTTCTTGTGACCCTCCGCGGCGCGATCGAGCAACGTGTCGGACTGCAGCTCCACAAGGCTGTCCACGACATTCCCGATGACGCCCTTCTTCTTGAATAGGAGTTTTTTGGCCCCCTCCAATGCGTAGACGCCCTTGTTGATGACCTGGCTCTTCGCCCGGAGTTTATCGAACCCGACGCCCACGCGCGCGTCGAGGCCTACGCTGAAGTAGTTGCAGACATACTTGGACATCTCCAAGCTGCCATCGCCCAGCCGCCTGATGCCATGCCGCTCTATGTGCTTATCGGTGCATACCTTACGCCCATCTTGGATGAATTCGAAGCCAGCCTTTTCGGACGCCATGGTGCGCATGGACGTCTCCCAAATGTCGTACGGACGCTGCTCGGCCTGCAACCAAGCGTCGACGTATCGCCTCATGCCGGAGAACCCACTGTTCTCCTTGAGGAATCCTGGGCTTGGCCCACGCGTGCCCCAGCCGGTCACGTTCGAGAAGTCGTTGCCAGTGCCGAAAGGCGTGGTGCCCAAAGTCACTCGATCGACGTCGATGCCATGCTTGAACATCTCCTCGATCACCCACATCACAGTGCCGTCACCCCCAGCAACAATGCAGCACACGTGCTCGTCGGTCTTCAACCTCATGACTGCCTCGGCCAAGTGCAAGAAGCCGACCTTGCCTGGGTCTAAGATCGAGTAACTGGAGATGCGAACTTTCCTTCTGCCGCCAAGCGCGTCCATCTCAAGGCCGCCGGCAGGCAGCTTGAGGAACTCGCCGGCAACGTTGCCGCCAGACGTAGGGTTCACTATCACGACAATTTCCACGCGTCTGTCAGACGACGGGTCGGTCTGGCCGTCTAGCGAAGGAGGCCCCTCTGATCCCATGGCTTGGAGAGTTGCCCAGCAACACGCCTGACTAGAAACGCAAAGGCACGCCTATCTTTTGAGAGAGCCCTTGCAGCAGGCTGGTACGACGGGCGAGGTGAAGGACGAGAAGAAGGAAGAGAAAGAGAAGACGCACGGAATGCGTTTGGCCGAGGGCGGGGGGATTGAGGCAGAGACACTCACACTCCGCATTCCGTTCCAACCCAGAGCTGCCTCAGCAGGCCGCACATCTCTCTATCACTCATTACGTTTTTGTATCGGAAAAAACCTCCGTGGCACAGGAGGCAGCGAGCAAAACGAACTTTCCCACGTGTCATTCTACACAGTCGGAAACCAAACATGAAAGACCCACGAACCTGGAAAGGAATCTAGACATGTAAGGCATGGCAACGTTTCAAAGACACCTGATTGGGCGACGTTCCAAGGGACGCGCCAGGCGACGTGCCAAGAGACGTGCCACGAAGACGCACAGCGGGACGTGCCGAGGGGACGTGCTACGGAACGTGCCAATGGACGTGCCACGGGACGTGCCGGGGACGCGCCGCGCGACGTGCCAGGGGGACTCGCCACGGAACGTGCCAAGGAACGTGCCAGGTTGCAATGCTGAGTGTATCGAGCTTGATGTACCGTGCCGAAGTCTGTGCTGTGCTGTGCTGCACCGTGCTGAATTGCGATGTGCCATGCCGCGATTGTGCTCTATAGCGTTGTGGAGCGAGTCCTCCTTTGCATCCGAGTCCTGACCGAACTGATCTGAATCGTAAGCTCGAGCTGCCAGAACACATAGTAGCTGCCCCAGAGCTAATTGACAGTGGGACATGCCAGGAGGACGCGCCGCGGAACGTCTCAAGGGACGCGCCAGGGGACGTGCCAGGGGACGTGCCATGGGGACGCACCGCGGGACGTGCCAAGGGGGCGCGCTACGGAACGTGCTGGGGACAAGCGTTTCGCTCGAGACATCCTGTCAAAATCCTCATGCTAGACATCCGCCTGAGCGACCTGGACACGTGAAAACAAGCGTTTCGCTAGACATCCGCCTGGGCAACCTGTACACGTGAAAGCAAACGTCTCGCTCGAGTTATCCTCAACACATCTTCATCATCCACCTGGGCGACCTAGACACGGGCAAACAAGCGTATCTCTCGAACAATTCCCAACACATCCTCATGCTAGGCATCCGCCTGGGCAACCTGGACACGTGCAAACAAGCATCTCGATCGAGACTTCGTCAACACATCCTCATGCTAGACATCCGCCTGGGTGACGAAGACGCGTGAATCTAAGCGTCTCGCTCGAGACATCCTCAACAAATCCCGGCGCTAGACCTCTGCCCGGGCAACCTGGAGGCGTGAAACCAAGCGTCTCGCTCGAGAAATCCCCAAGACTTGGGCACGAGAAAACAAGCATTTCACTTCAGAGATCCTCTGAATTCTGGTCCCCAGGAGAGGACAACCTATAACACAAAACAAGCGTTTCGCTCGAGACATCCTCAACACAGTCTGAAAAAACAAGCGTTTCGCTAAGGACATCCTCAATTTTTAATTCGCCGGCCCACCTCGACCTCGATATTCATCGCAAAAGAAATTCGCCGGCCCACCCCAAGTCAAACACTGGGGTAAACCCACTAAAAGAGAACCCTGGGCCTTCGCCCTTTCCGGGAAAAAACAGGATCGACCCACGAACCTGGAAAGGAATATAGAAATGCAAGGAGAGGCAACGTTTCAAAACACCTGATTGGGCGACGGGCAAATTCAATGCTGAGTGTATCGATCTTGATGTACCGTGCCGAGGGCTGTGCTGTGCTGCGCTGTGCTGAATTGTGATGTGCCATGCCGCGATTGTGCTCTATGGCATTGTGGAGCGAGTCCTCCTTTGCATCCCAGTCCTGACCGAACTGATCTGGATCTTGAGCTCGAGCTGCCTGAGCACATAGAAGCTGCCCCAGAGCTAATTGACAGGGGAACATGCAAGTGGGACGCGCCGCGGAACGTCCCAAGGGACGCGCCAGGCGACGTGCCAGGGGACGTGCCATGGGGACGCACCGCGGGAAGTGCCAAGGGGACGCGCTACCGAACGTTCCAATGGACGTGCCACGGGACATGCCAGGGGACGCACCGCGCGACGTGCCAGGGGGACTCGCCACGGGACGCGCCACGGAACGTGCCAGGGAACGTGCCAGGTTGCAACGCTGAATGTATCGATTTTGATGTACCGTGCCGAGGGCTGTGCTGTGCTGCGCTGTGCTGAATTGCGATGTGCCATGCCGCGACTGTGCTCTATAGTCAAGTCCTCCTCTGCATCAGAGTCCTGACCGAACTGATCTGGATCTTGAGCTCGAACTGCCTGAGCACATAGAAGCTGCCCCAGAGCTACTTGGCAGGGGGACATGCCAGTGGGACACGCCGCGGCTCGTCCAAAGGGTCGCGCCAGGCGACATGCCAGGGGACGTGCCATGGGGACGCACCGCGGGACGTGCCAAGGGGACGCGCTACCAAACGTGCCAATGGACGTGCCACGGGACGTGCCAGGGGACGCGCCGCGCGACGTGCCAGGGGGACTCGCCACGGGACGCGCCACAGAGGTACCAAAGTGCGATGCTGAGTGTATCGATCTTGATGTACCGTGCCGAGGGGCGTGCCTGGGCGACCTGGACACGTGAAAACAAGCGTGCCACTCAAGACATTCTCAACACATCCTCATGCTAGCCATCCGCCTGGGCAACCTCGACACGTGCAAACAAGCGTCTCGATCAATACTTCCTCAACACATCATCATGCTAGACATCTGCCTGGGCGACCTGGACGCGTGAAAACAAGCGTCTCGCTCGAGTCATCCTCAACAATTCCTCATGGTAGACATCTGTCTGGGCAACCTGGACGCGTGAAACCAAGCGTCTCGCTCGAGACATTCTCTCGACCTGGGCACGTGAATACAAGCATTTCACTTGAGAGATCCTCTGAATTCTTGCCCCCAGGAGAAGAACATCTACAGCACAACACAAGCGTGTCGCTCGAGACATCCTCAGCAACTTCTGCAGCACAAGCGTTTCGCTCGGGACATCCTCAATACTTAATTCGCCGCCCCTGCTCGACCCCGTTATTTCTCGCAAATTAATTCGCTGGCCATGCAGCCGTCGAGGCGGGGGTAAACAGCGAAAAGAGAACCCCGGGCCTACGCCCTTTCCGGGAACATGAATCAGACCAAGGCAAAATATGGCCGCACAGGGAAAAAATGTTGTGCCAACGCGGAAAACATTTCAATCCGTGGCACTGGTTCTGTGAATGTGGCAAGCCTTACTCCTGAAGGCGCCGAGACAGATCGCAGAGAACGACCGCGAGGGACAAGCTCAATCAGGACAGACAAGCAATGGCATATCGCTTTCGTGCAGGGACTGCTGCCATACCAGCAGTAGCAGAGTCTCATCCAGACCCGCCCACCTCAGAGGATCAGCATGTAAGAGAAAGCGTGATCCACCGCCGCTTTACTATGGAAAACTCCCCCCCCTCTTCCTCCGGAACCCTGGGCCCCCCCCCCTCCGAAAATCCCCCCCCCTGGAACCCCCCTCCACCTCCCTCCCCTAACACCCCCCCCCCCCATCCCCTCCGGAAAACCAAGGGGGGGGTCACTACCGGTTCGACACCCCCCCTCGGAAAACTGGGGGGGGGGGGTCACTACCGGTTCGAACCCCTCCCCCCCCCCAGAAAACCAGAGGAAGGTCACTATTGGTTCGAACCCACCCCCTCCAGAAAACCGCAGGCGGGTCACTACCGATTCGAACCCCCCCCCATTCTCCCCTCCGGAAAACCTGGGGGGGGTCACTACCGGTTCGAGCCCCCCCCCCTCGAAACCGGTTCGAACCCCTCCCCCCCCGCCCCACGCTCACCGCCAGCAAACGACTCCCGGTCCCTACCACCGTCCACCCCACATCCCCCACTGCTGTCCCCAGCACCACTGTCCTCACCACCACTGTCCCCACTGGTTCCACCACCGTCCCTACTGTCCCCACCAGTGCCCCCACCACTGTCGCGCTGTCCCCACTATCCCCACCACTGTTCCCACCACGGTTCCACTCTCCCCACTTTCTCCACGGCCCCAACCACTGAACCACTGCCCGACTGTCCCCACTGTCCCCACTGTCCCACTGTCTCCTCCGCTTTCCCACTGAGATGTCCCACTATTCCCACCACTGTCCCCACTGTCCCCACCACTGTCCCCACTGTACCTCTGTCCCATTGTCCCGCCGCCGTCCTCGCCACCGCCCTCACCACTGTCCCCACCACCACTGTACCCTCCACTGTCCCACTGTGTCCAACACATTCCCACTGTCCCCACACCACTGTCCCCACCACCACCGTCCCCACCACTGTCCCACTGTCCCCACTGTTCCCACCATTGTCCCCGCTGTCCCCACCAGTGCCCCGACCAGTGTGTCAATGCCCCCACTCTCCCCACCATTGTCCCACCACGGTCCCACTCTCCCCACTTTCCCCACGGTCCCCACCACTGTCCCACTGTCCCCACTACTGCCCCACTGTCCCCGCCGCTGTCCCACTGTGCTGTCCCAGCGTCCCCTAGTGACCCCCCCCCTGTTTTCGAGGAGGGGGGGGGGGTTCGAACCGGTAGTGACCCCCCCGGTTTTCGAGGGGGGGAGGGGGGGTTCGAACCGGTAGTGACCCCCCCCCCTTTTCATGATGGACTGGGGGGGGGAGGGGTTCGAACCGGTAGTGCCCCCCCCCCGGTTTTCAGGGGGGGGGGAGGTTCGAACCGGTAGTGACCCCCCCCCGGTTTTCCGCCAGCAGCGGTAGAGCACGTTCTTTCTCATATAGGATGTTCACTCTAGCCAAACCTGCAGTCGCAACCAAGTCAGCAGACAAGTCAGACGCGCCAGAGTCGGAGGGAACCGCGCTGCTCTCTTATTGCCTTTCGGTGCTCAAACCTCTCGGATAGCAGCTGGCCGGAGCGAGACAGAGACAGCAACGATTATAACATAAGCACATGGACACTACAAACAAGAGGAAGGAGCTCGAGATGTTGGAGCTCGAGTTAGAAGGCCAGTCTCGCAGAGTCCAGTAGTCTGGCATAATATCTAGAACAGACTTGGCAGAAGAGTAATGGCAACAGCAAGGCTTGGCTCGTACACCGATTCAGGCCCCAGAAACGCAAGAAGACGAGCCTATGGGCTTCTCGAACGTCAGACGACAAGGGCAAAGGAAAGGACAAGAGTTGACGAGGACCTCAGGGGAACGGACCGATGAGCACGGACTTCCAGCACACAAGCTCGCAGCAGAGCACCATCGCGGACGCCGTACAGTCGGGCTGCTGCAAGAAGGAACGATGAACAATGAACGAAGCCCCTTTTCGGCCCCCAAACCGCCTGCATGCACGAGGAGGGTTGGAGGAACAGCCATGGAATGACCGAAGGAACAACGAGCTTTTTCCGAAACCGAAGCGGTCCTGAATTCAGCGTCTTAGCTGCACTGTTCATGATGAACCGTCAGGATCATATGGACGAAAAGATCGTGAATCCCAAGCAGGCTATGACGACTCTTTTCATTGGATGTGGTGGGAGAACTAGAAAAGATACAGATACCTCTACTCCCCGGACCTCTCCTGAAGCGTGTTCTGACCAGACGTTCGCGGCGAATCCAGCGGTGGCGACGATGGCCTCCCAGGAGGGCCAAAAAGTGCGAAAACGAGGTGAGGGTAGCGGTATGGGTACCCTCTTCCTCCTCTGGTGAGGAGGTGTGAAGTCGCGGTGTTTCCAACGCAGGGTGGGCCGACGGTATTTCCAACGTTGGGTGGCACGGGCAGTGGGCCACCATTGTTTCAAACCGCGGGTGGATCGCCAGTAATTCCACACGGTAGGTGGCACGGGCAGTGGACTGGTGGGACCACCGCCGCAGATGCCAGGACTAAGATGTATCACCATCTCTGGGGAAGGCAAACTTGGCATGTTGACGGACATGCCGCAAACAAATAACTCAGACACGTGCGGGCGTGCCCCAAGAAGAACAACACATCGGACATCATCATTTCGCGGAAGTTTGGCCTTACTTAGTTGTTGTCTGCCCGGGCCATTGCCCAGACGAGACAATCGTCGCCGAATCGATCGCGCCAAAGAAAACAAACCCAGTCTCACCCACCTGTACATCTCAGACACCACCTCTTCCGCTTGGACAGTCGCAGAGACAGCATGTTCGATGCAATCGGGACTACCCGACGCCAGTGTATGCAGATGAAGCTGGCCAGGCCAGGAAGATAGCCGCACAGAAACTCGAGGCTGCCATGGAGGCGGCAGTTCCAGGGACGCCGTCGCCGACTCAGGTGTGGGGCCCAGCTGCGCCCTAGCAGTTTGCCAGGTTGATACCCAGCGAGTAGTTGGAGCCCACCAAAGCAACTCAGGAAGCGCGAGCAGAACCACTTCCTGGACCACCTGCAGCGACGGAACCGATCATGATCGATCGACCCCCAGAAGTTGCCAGGGACGGACGGACGCTGCAGTTCGCGCCGGAGCGCGGCCCTCCAAGAGCGCAGCGGGGGCGCCGGGGCGCCGAAACTCGTTTCACGACGCTCTGCAATGGAGTTTCACCGGTAACATCCTCAACCGGGGCAGTACGACATGCCACACAAAATTGTTCCCATCCGGGCTACTTCATAGACCATATTGTTTGCATCAGCCGCCGAAACAGAGCTCGATTTGCTTATCGGGTCGCCAGTGCCATTGTGGAGCGTATCGCAAACCTGTTTCCAAAAACTCGATGTGTGCAAATATCAATAGTCTTTGTCGAACTCTGTTCGTGTCTTTTCTGTTGCTGACGTCCAAGTACTGGGGCAAAGTTACAACAACTGTTTGTGTTACCAAACGCTGCATTGTCGAAACCAGGTTCGTGGATCTCTTCTGGCGAGAGCCTCCTTCGTCCACCAATGACATTTGCAATTTCCGTCGCGTTTCCAACGATTGTGAACCTGATCCGGACCTGATTCACCACCGTGCTAGATAAACGCGTCCATGCGCCAACCAATTTTGAAGGGCCCGTGTCAATTTCGTCGACGTCCAGTGACAACTCCTGCTCGGTAGAATTGCGCGTTTCATTCTCGTCCGGGGGCTCTAGGCGAGCCTCCCTGTGATCTGATCCGTCTCAATGCCGCGCAGAACCCTCCGATCTCGACAGCAATTCGCTGAGCACTTCATCAACAATTGGTAAAGTGGGAGGTTCCTTGCAAACCTACCCTTCGATGCGATCCACAGCTTCTTGCGGGTTGAAATTGTGGTCACATCCATCATAATGTCCACGTTGCATCATTGACTGCAGAACTTCGCCTCGAGGCTGCATTTGCCCGGAATCCTTCACCAACTTCTCACACACATATTCTGGTCACGCATGAAAATTAAAAATGGTTTTTAATCACAGATGCTGCGTTGTTGCACCACCTTGCACCAACCACTGAGAATGTACCACAGACAGGTGAATGCCATTGTGCAACAAACATTGCAATCTGTGTACTAACGCATTGAACCTCTCTTCAAACATGCTCTCTTGATGCGATACTTTCTAATTCAAGCGCTCCAGGTCATCAATTTTCGACTCTGCCAAAGTTGGACTCTGCGGTCCAGACTGAAGGTGCACATGCGATCTCTTGTCTTTCCATCCTGGATTCCATCGCTTGGGCGGCATGCTTGCTTGGGCCTCAACTCCTTGCTTGTGCCTCAACTCTTTGCGCCAGGAGGAGGGAGGAGGAGGGAGGAGCCAGGTCGAGACCAGCAGAAGCACCAACGGGATGATCGCCTCCTAGCAGTAGTACGATGCAGCCCAGCGACGCGAAGGAGCTGCGAGCAGAGTGCAGCATACAGACGGTCGATGAATAGATCAGCCCGCTGGTGATGACATATACGCACAAGTCATGGTCAATTGTGGCATGGGATGTGGCAGTACATTGGATATTGGATCATCGGTGGAGTCAACGACGGCAGCATCTACGGCATCATCGATTTCCTTTTCAAGGGTGCCAGCGTGGGCCATGGTCGGAGCGGAGGGAGGGGACGGGCAAAGCACCCTTCCTTCATCAATTACTGAGTCGGACAGGCCATCGCCTGTCAAAAAAGTTCGCATACTATGTTCTAACTATTTTCGAATATTCCTCCTGCAGAAGGACAGGCACCGACTCAAGGCCCGGGGGAGGGGGGGGGCCTCGGTGGGCCTGGCCTAGGAGGGCGGGGGCGCGGCGTCCTCGGGGGCTAAAGGGGGGGGGGAAGGCGGGAGGGCACGAACCCGTCGCAGGAGAGGGAGGAGGAGATGGAGGAGGAGGAGTAGGAGGAGAAGGAGGAGATGGAGGAGGGAGGAGGAGGAGATGGAGGAGGAGGAGGAGGAGGAGGAGGAGGAGGAGGAGGAGGAGGAGGAGGAGGAGGGAGGAGGAGGAAATGAGGAGGAGGAGGAGGCGGAGGAGGAGGAGGCGGAGAAGGAGGCGGAGGAGGAGGAGGGAGGAGGAGGGACCCACCGACGGCGCCATCCTGGGTTTCGCTACCACGCATGCTGATTGGGAGTAGGCAAACCAAAAAATCGGCGCCACTGGCGGGTTTTTGCTCTTGACCGAGCGTAACTTTAGACATAATGCATTCGGCGGGGGGGGGGGGGTCACTCCTCTCCAAGTCGTCGGGGGGTTACGGATGTCTTGTTACACATCTTGCGCAAAACCAGCCGCACATCGAAAACTGCAGTCCCCCCCCATAGCCCCGTATCACCCGGAGGGTGGTCTTGCCGATAATACACGGGTTGGGTGCCTACAGCGGCGGACGTCGTTAGTTCACACAAGAGTCACCACAAGAGCACACTGACCAGTGAGACGATGGCAATAGCCCAGATGAAAGCACGAACGCTGATGTCCATGATATCCTCCATCAATCATGAAGCAACGCGTGACCACAATACGATGTCGACCTCAGACTGTGAGCACTGCAGTGTCAGAAGTGGGATGCAACAAGCGATGACGAGAGATGGGAAGCCCACGTCCACTTTTACTGCATCGGTGCTCTAGAGCAGGCTCGCCAAGTACAAGAACGACAAAGGTTAAATGCGAGCAGCAGCTACACACATAGAATAATAAACAAATGCGCAACACACAATCTTTCGGAGGTCCACCCGGATGGTTTGGGTCGGCGCTGGATCCCCATCTCCACGTCCCTTCCATGGCGCGCGGAGCGCCCCAATGGCAGGGAGGGGATCTCAGTCCCGATTCAAGAAATCCGCGCGGACTGTCAAAGCTTCTGTTGATGCCATTCGTCGCTCTTCGAATCAAGAGCTCTCGCGTTGCCTCGCGAAGCGTTCCCCCGTCTCATTCGAACGCCATTCTGCGCTCAAGGCCTCGCAGCCCATGGATGGCGCATCCACCGCGGGGACGTCGTGGAAACTTCGTGAAGAAATCGCGGGTACCTCCACAGAACCCCTCGCAGCGTGAACAAAATCAATGGAGGGTTGTTGGCCACTTTCGGCCTCTCGGGGCCCTCACTGGGCTTGGACAATTGAAAAGCTGGCCTCAATGTAAGCGGTCGGGACCTCCGGAGTTCCACGTTGTGAAAAATCATTGCGTCGGAGGCTCGGACACCTGATTCCTTGACTTTTTCAACCGCTGCGGGGTCCCTGGAAGTCCCGACCCTTTCCCCGAGGCCGGTGGATCATCCCGAGTCGTTTCTGGCGGGGTTTTTGTTAATTCGCAAAATTGGATGTCTGGAATGTCTGGGTCGACCCAGCTGCGCAAGAAACGCGCCAGGGACCCGGTCCGGAAGAAGAGGTTCCTCGTGAGACGCCCCTGCCAGAAGCGCACGGTAGGGCGAGACACAGGATCACCCCACAGAGCAACAAGGTGCGAGGCTCTAGACACACTTGGAGGCGCGCACAGGGGGGTAGGGGGACGTGGGAAGGCTTCTTAGAAGGAGGCTGCTTCTTAGAAGGCGCCGGCCTCACTTCTACAGACAAGGCCGGCGCCTTCTAAGAAGCAGCCTCCTTCTAAGAAGCCTTCCCCCCTCCCCCCACCCCCTCTGCGCGTGGCCGACGCGTGGTGGCACAACTTGAGAAGGCTCAGGCAAGCTTGAAGGCAACGACGGGGACAGCCAGCCTGGTGGACACGGGAACAAAGAAAGAGGTAGAGGAGGATCAGCAGCCACGGGCACATCATGCGCATTCCCCCCCCCACTCGCAGCCGTGCGCCCCACCGTCCAGCAGTCCCGACGAATCGCTAGAGGTCCGTAAGACTCCCCCAGGGCCTATACGTTTTGCTGTGAAACCTCGCCGTTCTGACCCCAAGCGCGAGGGGAAAGGAAGGCACCAACAACGCCTCCTGCCAGCGTTTCTGGGGGATCCAGGACGATAGGTCCTCACGAAATCAGAGTCTGAGGCATCGGAGTTGCTCGTCAAAGCCGCCCCAGGGGCCAGAAGCCAAAACGACGCATGTGACCCCTTATATATGCAGGAACAGAACTCCGAATCAACCGCAGAGCGGCCAGCCAGTAATTAGTCCCCCCTCGGCTACACGGCACCGTTGGCCCTGTGCACGCGCTTTATCGCCCCCCCCCTCCCCCGCTCTCCGAAGCCTGGAATCTGCCACAGCAGCAGGCGGCAAGCACCCGCCGTCCGTGGACAGGCAGCAGGTCGTCAAGGCTTTGACCTCCACAAGACGCAGCTGGCCTCGCCCTCGGTGATTCCGCACGGGATGGGCTGGTCCTCGGGTCTCACCTCGGTGACGTACAGCGTGTGGTGTGACAGGCTGAGCAACGGCGGTTTCCGTCCGCTTCGGCCTGTAGGACCCTGCTCGTAGACCTCGTGATTCACCAAATCTATTACGAACGTGGTGCCAACACTGACCTCTTGCGACTCGGCCACAGTGAAGATGAGGAACCCGTCAGACCTCTGTGGCGAGCGCAGGAGCCATGCCACCTGCAGCGGCAGGCTGTGGTACGCCCACCGTGGCTCAAGAGTCTGCGCGTCAAACTGGTGCACAATCAGCTTAGCGCTGCCTAAACTCGTGAGATCACCAGGACAACGGTCAAAGCCGACAGTCACTATCGCCCGTGAGGCGTTATCGTAAAGCACCGTGGAATCGTGGACGATAGTGCGACTGGGCCGGAGCTTCAATGTATTCGAGCTAGAGCGGTGGGCGTCGCCTGTGCGTGCCCCCCAAGCCTTCGGGGGGAAGTCGACCATGGCCAAGCAAGAATGGCGCCCTCTTCTTGAGGAGGTCTGCCTTAATGGCTCCCAGGCGACGGCCACCTTGTCCACGGTACGAGTCGGCAGTGCGCTGTGGATCCCTGTGCCCTCGACACACACCATGCTGCCAGCTTCCTCTCCAGCGGTGCCCGCTAATGACTGCATCGTGTCTAGTGAGGCGCCGGCCACGAAACGGCTACAGGAGCTCCCGTTCTCGAAGCTCTGCACACGCTGCACGGCCATGTAGCAGGACTTGCTGGCGTTGGAGCCCTGGCAGCTCTCGCCCGCCGCTGCCCCGCTGCCGCTTCCAGCAAGCAGCGCTGTGACCTCGTCGGGTATGCCCCCCGAGCCTGGGAGAAGAGAAACTGCGTACACATAAGCTTTCGGAACTCCGCGCGGACTTCTTGGATCTGCGATGGACCGTCTCCCTGGCTCTGAAGTGTTTGCTATGTTATGTTTCCTATGCTTACTATGTCTTCTTGCTTCACTATGTTTACTATGTTTACTGTGATTTCTGTGTCCGTCTCCCGCGGAGCTCCGAAATGCTCACTGTGTTTTCCTCTTCGAGGACCGCCGCGCTCTGTTGCGCCCCCCTTCCCGAGGCCCAGTCTCGAGACGCCGCCGGTCCCAACAGTGATCACGTCGGCTCCGAACAGCGGCCGCTGGAAGGTGGAGGCGCCCAGCCTGGTGGGAGTGAACAGCGTGGCCTCGAACGGCTCATCACCTGGCTGGCTTTGTTATACTCAGGGACCCCTAAACCAGGACATCGCTGACCAGGACGTTCTGTAAACGCCAAATGGATGAAACGAAGAATGGAGAATGATTCGGCCCTCGGCTGCAATTTTCTCGGGCGCGCCAACGGCATGGCTTTTGTCAAAAACACCGTTCTGGGGGCCCTGATTTAGCTGAAAGCGGAATCGGGCGGCTCACTCTTCATAATCAATCCTTGCTCGTCTCAAGGGTCAAACAAGTATCGTGCCGTTGTTGCCGGTTTGCAAGGCAACCACTTCCGACTCGCTCCCGAGGTGGCTGTATGCTCTTAGGGATGCCTTGCGCGGACGTGCCAACGATATTGCTAGAGACAGGCCTGTCGAATGACAAAAGCGGCGCGCGATTAACGACAAAGGGGGCCTCCTGTTCTCTGAGGACAAACTGTGCAGCGACCGCATCTCCTGAAAGGACTCCTCGCGCGCGCCTTCGAAACGAGAGAGGGGGAGCGGGAAGAGGACTGGGAGACCGAGAAAGGGGGAAGGGGGGCAGGAGAAGAGCAGGGGAAGAGGGGAAGATTGGAAGGGGAGGAACGCCAAGGGAGGGGCGCGAAAAGCGGGAGTGAGGGCAAAGGGAAACGCAAGGGGCGACGATAGATGAAGCCGGGCACCCGCCACCAGCGCCCGCTGCTCCCATGGGAAATCCTTGGTCACGTGCCTTCCACCTCGCAGGCGAAAGAGCAGAAGGAGCAGGAGGAGATGGAGGAGCAGGAGGAGCAGGAGGAGACCGAGGAGCGGAGCAGGAGGAGAAGGAGCAGGAGGAGGAGCAGGAGGAGGAGGAGGAGGAGGAGGAGGAGGAGCAGGAGGAGCATGATGCGGAGAAAGAGGAGGAGGAGGAGGAGGAGGAGCAGGAGGAGCAGGAGGAGGAGGAGCAAGGGGAGGAAGATCACGAGGAGGAGCGGTGCCCGGGAGGGGCGAGGAAGAGCACACAACGCTGGGGAAGAAAAGAGAAGGGAGCGCTATGAGCGGAGGGGAGCAAAGAACATCAGAGGGGGAAGCGGAAGCGCCAAGGTACGAACCGAGCCGCAAGATCAACGCGGATGACCGCTCTCAAGCAGTGGGGCGACTACTGCAACAATCCGACTGGAGGGCAAAGTGCACATGCTGGTATCTCACCCAAGACGATTATGGGTAATTGTCTGGCACCTTGAAGCCAAATGTAGGTTCACGTGGTGACACTGCGACGAATGACGTCATACGAAAGTTGTGGCGGCGACAGAAGCAAGTCAAGACGAAGCTTGTCTCGGAGGAGTTGAGGTGCCTGTAGCCTGGTGCCGAGAAACCCTTCGGTCAGTGCAAGAGCGCTTTAGGGACATATCTGCCGCATCTGCGCGAAAACGATGGGGACCCCGGGGGTGAGTGCTGAAAGTGCCGATGGGAAGGTGGAAGGGGGCGAGCCCTTTGGGCAACCCAATGATAGCAATATGAGAGACTGGACTGGCGATCTGGGTTATCCGTGAAATCTAGCTGTTGTGCTGAGCGTTCCAACCGCACTTCATCCTAACCCTCTTTGCCATCATGTCCACTGTCACCACCATCTCCCCCTGCTCCCAACATCCTGGCCCCCTCGGCACCTGAATGCCAGCGGGCGACATCGGCGTATCTGTCCTGCTGCACGCGTAACACGAGCAAGGAACAGATGAGCAGCATCACCCAGACGCACTTCCTCGGTGCTGGGTTCGGGTAGGCCTCGGGATGTGCGCAAGCAGAGCCCCGCCCAGCTTTGGCACGCTGTCCGGTACACTGTACCAAGTTCCCTCAGAAGCGCCTCCATCCGGGAAGGGGAAGAGAAAAAAAGAAGAGGAGGCAGACGTACTCGGTTGAGAACGTGCTACTTCTCGTCTGTTCCTGACACTGGCATAGCTCCGACAGGCCCGACGCCCAAGCATGGGGCTTCTCGAACAATTCAACTTTGCAGGAAGAACAACTTACTACCCAGGCACGTACTCGACCAAATACGAAGCAAGAGGCAAGATCAGCAGACCAATCCAATAAAGGCAAGCTGTGTGTGGCAAGCTATACGGCGCATGCAGTCTACTTGATGCAATATGCGTGGTATGCTCTATGTGATGTTAGCTACATGGTACCCTGTATGTGTTGCAGTCTGCATCGTGAATCCCACGGGATGGGAACCATGTGATGACATCCCTGTGGCGCCAGCCATATGGTTCAGTCTCCTTGGTGCCAGACGGGTGGTGCAATCTATAGGGTGCGATCTCCTCGATGCAAGCAAAGAGACGCGACACACGTGATGCAATACGTAGCTGGGCTCCACGTTTGGCACTCTATGTCGTGTAAGTTGCATCGCGCGCTATGTGGTGCATGATATGTGCCGCATTACACGGAGTGCGAGCCATGTAGTGTCGCATGGTAGCGCAACCAAAGCAGCACATTCTGTGTTGCGAGAGATATGGTACACTCTATGGGTGCGATCTATGTGGCGCAAGCTATGTGATGCAATCCACGCGGTGTAGTCACACGTGGCACCCGAGAGAAAGCGATCGGTCGAACATCCTCATGCACCGGCCAGCCCACCAAGCGATCACGACAGATGCATACGTGGCGGGGCAAATCTGGAAATACATTCAAAACGTATATGAATCACCTCGAGACGCCGGAAGGAAAGAGGAAGAAGGGGATAGTGTAAAGAAAAGGCCTAGCCAGGCAAGAAAAAAGATGATACATATCTACTCTCTCTCTCTCGCTCTCCTCCCCTTTTTGTTTCTCTCTCTCTCTCTCTCGCTCTATCACTTTCTCTCTCTCTCTCTCTCTCTCTCTCTCTCTCAACACACAAATATGTGTGCGCATCTTTCTCTCTTTTTTCTCTCTTGTTTTCTCTCTCTCTCTTTCTCTCTCATTTCTCTCTCATTTCTCTCTCATTTCCCGGCCTCGCCTCTTGCAAAGGCTCCTACGGCGACGACCTGGCCACGAGAGGAAGGAAGGGGAAAGGAATAGTGGGAGGGTCCTAACAAGAAGTCCATCTGCAGACCCAATTGTGGGCGGCTCTTTTGATCTCTCTCCTCTTCTATCCTCTCCAAGCCTCGCCTCCTCCTCCTGCTCCTCCTCGTGATCATCATCACCGCCACCACCATCAGCATCAGCATCAGCATCAGCATCAGCATAAGCATCCTCAGCATCAGCATCATCATCATCATCAGCACCATCAGCAGCAGCATCAGCATCAGCATCATCATCAGCATCAGCAACATCATCAACAACGTCCGCATCATCATCCGTACCACCATCTTCATCATCATCATCATCACCATCATCAGTATCAGCATCAGCATCAGCATCACCATCACCATCACCATCATCATCATCATCATCATCAGCAGCATCATCATCATCATCATTCACAACAGCATTAGCATCATCATCATCAGCAGCAGCATCAGCATCATCAGCATCATCACCGTCATCATCATCATCATCGTCATCATCATAATCATCATCGGCATCATCATCATAATCAGCATCATCATCATCATCATCAGCATCAGCATCATCATCATCATCATCACCATCATCACCACCACCACCACCACCACCACCATCATCATCATCATCATCATCAGCATCAGCATCATCATCATCATCATCATCATCATCATCATCATCATCATCATCATCATCATCATCATCTCCCCCTTGTCCAAAAAAGGGTGGCGATGGAGACCGCTCCGCTGGAACCACCTGAAGCTCACGAAAGTCTGGACAACTGCGCAGTTGGCAGCGCCAAGGGGGCGGAACCATAGTTTCGACCACCGCAGCTCTGGAACCCCCAGGATGCACACAAAGTGGCGACAGCCGCTCTACAGTTCCCCAGGATTCAAATGATTCGGTTCGCCACTGCGCGGCCAGGAGGGCCCAAGAGGCCCCGAAGACTGTGCCATGGGGTTCCGAAGAGGGCCTCGAGAGCGCAAGACAACGCAATAATGGCTTTAGACGTAGACGCCCCAAGACAGCTTGAAGATGGCCAAAGAAGCCGCCAAGACGCCAGACCCCAAAAGGGCATACGAAAACCCAAATCCCTGCTTGTCCGAAACTGTTTGGTGTTTCTCGCTTTCTGATTTGTTCTGGCTGCCGGATGCCCAAGACGGCTCACGATGCCGCCGAGATGGTCCCAAGACCGCCCAAGAGGCCCCCAAGATGACCCACGAGGGCCCATCAGCCCCCCAAGACGGCCCAAGAGAGCCCCCAGACACAAGACGGCCCGAGAGGGCCCCAAGAAAGCCCACGACGGCTCAAGAGTGCCAAGAAAGGGCCCCCAAGAAGCCCCCAGGAGGACGCTAGGTGGGCGGTGGGCCCCAGGGGGAAGGACAAGAGGAGGAGAAGGAAGAGGCAGAGGAAGAGGAAGAGGAAGAGGCGGGCTCCCGATGGCAGCGTGCCATCGACATTCCCAGACATTCGACGTCGCGTTTTTTCACAATGTGGCTCCCTAGAGGTCTGGACCCCTGCCCCGGGACAAGCTTTCCATCCCGAGTCCTTCTCTGCCGGTCGGGGGGCCCAGCGAAGCCCCCCCTGGAGGCCAAACATTTACAAAAAGCGTCCGTCGCAATGTTTCTGCGACGGGGGGACGTCAGGGCTTCCTCGCTCGGCACAGGTGCGCGCTCTCAGGCTGGCCTCGACCTCCACCACCAGCTGCGGCGGCAGCACGGGTGGGCCAGCGCCCAGCACGCGGCCTCCGCCCCCATCATGCGGGTGGGGAGGCCGAGGGGGAACGACGGGCGGGAGACCTGCCCAGGTTAGGAAGCAACTCCTGGGAGGCCTCCCCTTCGTAAGAACGAGGACGGGCCCTCAAAAACCCATCGGTGCCCTTATGCCAGACTAGGCCAGACTACGCCCTGGATGATGCCAGATCATGCCAGACCAAGCGGGAGGGAGCGGGATTAAGCGACATGGAACGGGATTAGGGTTGATTAGGCTGGTTTTCGAGGCAGGGGGAAAGGTTGGTGGTGCGCACAAAAGGGGTAGAGGGAGGCGGGAAGGCTTCTTAGAAGGCTGCTTCTCAGAAGGCGCCCGCCT